TCATAATCGCCCGCAACTCCCGAGGGGCCGCCCAGACTTGGAGTGGCAAAGAAAAGAATATCCAAGGCCACAAGAAGCGCCGCAAGCATCCAAATGCAGTCCTTGCTGGTCGGAAACGACTCTGAGGTGCATGCGCACGCCTCCTTTCCGGCCGCAAGGGACGTGAGCGCCATTCCAAAATCGGCAAAGCGGGGCTGGCACAGACCCCCAAGCTCAGCAGAACTTGAAGAGGAACGCTGGCTCGCAAAAGACGATGCACACCTCGGACAGCAACATGGGCACGACGCAAGGGAGCAACAAGGCCTCGCAGCAGGCCCAGAAACAGGAATCCCAAAAGTGCCCGAGAAATGGGGAGGAGGAACGCACCAGTTCCACACAGCATCGAAGTCCAAGCCCTGCCAGTAAGACCTGCCGTAAGGTCGGTGCAGCACGCAGCGGGGTCGCATTCATATGCGGCGCCCCCTCCTACTTGCTCACACTCCCAAAGGCCGCCAGGCATTGGATGGGCCTCCGAAGAAACCCCAAAACTAGCATCTGGGGGCCTAAACCCAAAGCTAGGGTCAGGGTCATGGTGACGAGGGCAGCAGAACTGGCCACACCCAAAATTCCGTCCTCGGTTTCGGGGATACACACGGCTGGTGTCGCCAGGAGCCCGTGGGATAGAGAAAAACCAAGTCAATCCGTCGAGGGCAGTCGGCCCAGAACCACCGATCCGACTTTTAGGTGCTCCTCCAGAGAGACTCAACCATCCAATCCCAAGCCGGAGAGAGGAGGTAGAAAGCCCAAGGGACGGACCCCCCCAAACACGAGCGGCAAGTAACCGCCCTGTCTGTGAGGAGAAAGGAGGGAGACGCAACACATAGGCATCCAGAACCCAAGGGTACCTAGCATTGCGCTCCGGCGCGGCAATCTCACAGCAAAAAGGACACATCGAGGAGCCTATACATCGAGACAAGGGGTGAAACCGCATGTCTCCACAGGCCTCACTTGTCAAGGATCCAAAGCATAGGCATTGGCCGACGGAGGAAGAAGCAGGAGGAGATTTCCCATAAATCTCTCTCCACTGTGTCTCCACCAGCCTGCCAGTGCAGCGGCCCCCAGACAATTGCGCCTCGGAAACATGCCTAAGAGCTCCCGTATCCTCAGCGACCTCCGTCATTCCATGCCGCCAAATCCAGGCGAGCGTGCATCCTTGTGCTCCTGCGCTTCTCGGCTGGCATCCGTGTGGGGAGGCATCCCCTGCGAGTCTTCTTCCGAAACAGTCACCACATGCTCGCTCGGTGCAGGAGGGACCGCTTTGCCTCCGAAAGGGATCATAGCTCCAGATCGACGCTCCGCGTCGCGTCTGGCCTCCAGCTTCATATGCAGATCGGAGGGCGGCGGTTCCCGTGCCGGTGCTGCCTTCGTAGCCTCTTTGATAGGCTCTCGCTGCGGCAAAAATCCGGGCCCTCCCCGACCTTTGGCATGATCGCGTTGTCCCGGATGTAGTGGCGAGGACCGACGATCCTTGACATTCGGCTGAATTGCCGGCCCATAGGCCGGTGGAGGGTCCACTGTAACATCCGCCGGCCGACATTCCGCATTCCCAGCCATCTCCGCCAGACCCGCGTGTCCGATCGGGGCGGTATAGGCAGCATCGCTCGGAGGTTCCGGCGGTACCGACGTCCAATGCGGAAAGCGCGCCTGGGGCTCTTCGTAAGCCAACCCCGGTGGCATTCCTTCCTGGACCTCCATGTGGGAGGTTGCTTCCGGAGCCTCCATACCAGCCAATAACTTCTCTATGGCCGGGGGAAGCGGACCGTCGGTACCGTGCATAATGCGAGCCAGCAAGGCTCGGTCCTGTTCCATCTGGTTGGGCCTGTCCTCGCCAATAAGTCGCTGCCATGCTCCATCGACAGCCGTGGGTGTCTTCGTCGCACCCGAATTCGCCAAGGTGGACGCCATCACCACTGCCTGCACCATGTTGTTGGCAGCAACCACCTGTTCCGAGGCACCTGTTCCGAGGCCTGCTGGATCTCCTCGTCCAGCCTCTTCATTGCGTGCTCGTATCGTTCCTTCTCTTGCAGAAAAGATTTCTGCAGGGCCGCCTCGTAGGCAGTCCACTGTGCCATCTTCTGAGTCCGCGCCTTCTGCAGACCCTTCTCCCTCTGCTCGGCACGTCGAACCAGATTGAGCTGGTTCTGGATCTCGCCTGCCACACTCGGCCGGCTGGATGCCGCTCCTCGATTTGAGGAGCTGATCTCGACCACTGCCTGCTGCATGTCGATTTTCTGGGCATCGAACCGGGGAAAGGCTTCCGCATTCTGGCCCTTGCCAAAGCTCTTTCCCTTGGCAGACTCCGGCCGGAAGGAGGGTGAGTAGGAGCCCCGTCAATAGGAGCCATGCTTTCCCTTCTTTTTCCGCCAGCCTGCGTCGGAGTGCCATCCTTGATCCTGATACTTGCCCCCCATACGACGCAGAATGCGAAGGCTCTGGAAGGGGCAGGTTCCGTGGTGCAAAGCAAGCACCTGGAATGCGGCCCAGCTCACCGGCCGGCCAGCTCGAAGAGCCACACGGGCTCGGGATCGCTTGGCACGTAGATGGCGGTGCCAAGGAGGAGAACTACGGGCCGTTTTGGCCTCGACACGACACTCTTCGAGTGCCTGGGGCTACAGCGATCACCTCCTGACGGTGTGTTCTGAGCCCTATCCTACTATGTAGGGTACTATACTAGGGTCCCCTATTTTCGGAAACTCCCAAGTCTTTCATTTACTTTGGCGGATGGCACCGCCCTTCATCGAGAGAGGGCGTATCCAATGTGGCGAGAAAGATTTCTGCTGCGGTAACTAGTATAGGGGCCTAAATGATTGCCAATACTATGGTGGGTTCCTTAATATGGTTATCGTATAATGTACCCCGAAACCCTATTCTAATTACTAAGGCCCCTACATTAGATGCAATTCTCGAAGCCGCTCCGACTCAGGCTGCGATAAAGTGACCTTCCTGTGGTACAAGGAGGCGCAGTGTAAGGAGTACCTCCAGAAGTGGGCCCCGGACTCATTCGTCTCACTCTGCAGAGACAAGGCATCTTGCTTCAGGGCATTTCATGGCTTCGGGGTGCGAGGGTTCGACAACACACTACAATGCGCAGCTTCGCATGCGAAGAAAATTACAAGAACGCCGCACATACCCCCAAACACCCTGTCCGCCGTCTCATATCACTCTTCCCACAATCCTCTTTCCTAGTCGTTCCTTGACATACCCAGATCTGGGTGGTTGTCAAAATTATGGCCCCCTTTTGGGTACCAATATTAGGTGCCGCATTATAATTGGACCCAAAAAGGGACTATAATTTTGACAACCACCCGACTCTAAACCCCAGAACAACCTTAAACTAAACCCTAAACCCAAAAAAAAATTAATAATAAAAAAACATACTAAACCCTAAACCCCAAAACAACCCGAAGCTCGCCAAGGTTCTGGAGCGCAAGATGACGCAGCGTGTAGAGGGTCTTCAGCCGTGGGCCCAGGCTCTTGTCATAGGGACCCTTAAGGACCCTAAACTATGGGAATTATGGTATATTGATTATGAGGGGTCATGCAGGGTTTATATCATCAACCGTAGACCTTGTTAAGTCCTTATAACAGGTAGTACGGCCCCCTAACCCCCACCTACCTTGCTAAGGGTCCCTATGATGTTCTGTCCTAGGACTGGCATTTCTACAAGGACTATGTAAGTAATAGTGACCGGGGTACTTAGGTTTTAGGGTTACAGTAGCAAGGGTTTAGGGTTTACCGTTAAAGTATTTGTATTTGGGGTAACAGATGTAGTAACTGCACATGCAGTAAATTCCAGTCTCAGGGTCTTCGTGACTCCTCAATAACTGGCATCTCATGGTAAAAGCTTCCTGCACCTTGGCATCCTCAGATCACTGCCAGATAGCATCGCCTGTTCTGAACGATGATAAACGATGGTGATGGTGATCACGACGATGATGACGATGGTGATGATGATGTTTGTGTTGACATTAGTAGTATAATGGTTAGTGTTAGTATTTTGGCTAGCAAATATCAATATCACTAGCAGCCGCAGTAGCAGCAGCAGGAGCGGTAGGACTAGTAGTTGTTGCTTTTGAAGGAGTAGTTGTTGCACTTGTTTTTGCCGTAGTAGTAGTAGTAGTAGTAGTAGTAGTAGTAGTAGTAGTCGTGGTGGTCGTAGTAGTAGTAGTAGTAGTAGCAGCAGTAACAGCAGTAACAGTAGTAGCAGTAAAACAGTGGCGTAGTCGTAGTAGTAGCAGTAGTAGTAGTAGTAGTAGTCACTAGCAGTAGCAGTGGCAGTGATAGTGGTAGGGGTAGTGGTAGTGGTGGTGGTAGTAGTAGCAGTAGCAGTAGCACCAGTAGCAACAGTCGTCGCTGGCGTAGTGCTGTTGAATCGACTTCTAATGCACTGCTCCTCGCAAAACTTGTTCTAACTGACTATTGAGGCCCAATAGTTGCACCTGGAAGGTCAGAGTGGTTCCCAGTAGTTGAGGCCCAATAGTTGCACCTAGGCCGTCAGAGTGGTTCCGCCAGAAGCACAACGAGTGGAACCGCATGTTGGGCTCGTGGATTCTCGGCCTTTTTATTCGAGTTAAAGTTTGTAAGGTTTTAGGATTTTAGGATGTTTTATGTGTTCCCTTCTTGGCCTTAAGAGAACCTCAGAGGTTTTTCCAAGGGCCCACCTAGCAAACTTTGGTATGGCATTAGCGGTTCCGGTCTCAAGGGGCTTTGGGTTTGGAGTTTAACTTTGTTGGGTTTAGTGGCTTTAGGGTACAAAGGTTTAGGGTTGGAGGGTTTGCTTTGAGAGAACGCCACGGATCCGGCGGGAGCTGCAGAAATGCACAAGCCTCGCATAAGGATCTTTACAATTCGCAGTCTCAGTGTTTTACCAAGGGTTGTGTCGGAGAATATGGGGAGCCTGATATACACCCGAGCTAGTAGGATTTTCGACGGAATTGATGCCGATCGAAAGAACCCCGCCAATGTTGAGAAATCCCTACATCAGAGCTTCATGCGGGAGCACAAACCCTGACTAGAGTGTTTTTCCATTCACTCAAACCCCCCGGATTCCACGAGGGTGCCCGAGTTCAGCGGGTTGTTGCAAGAGCTTCCCAGAGACTCCAATGCCCCTGAATTAAAGAATAGACCTTAAGTTTTAGTAGGACCCCTAATATGGTTTAAGGTATCTTCCCTTATTACGGGATATTGGAGTCCAATTAAACCCGAAATCCTTGTTTTGATCCCCTTATAGGCCTCATGGCCTGTAATCCCAAAATAGTAGGATTCGCATAAGGAACCTTAATAGGACCCAGGGCGTCTTAACCTGCTTCCTACATTATTACAGTACCCTTATAGCTCCCTTATAGTAACCCTTATAGACCCATCTGAAGGAGCCCTACAAAAGGCCCAAGATTTCTTAGTCGGCATATCGGAGACTCGGTGGGTTCGCAGGGCTTGAGGGAGGAAGCCCTGGTGGGCCTTCTCCCCTGCTTCATTTGGGAGTTTCCGAGAATTAGGGGTACCTTGTTTTGGGGTCCTTATAGTAAGGATCCTACTGTTTAGGGTACTATATTAGGGTCCCTTATTTGGGGAAACTCCCATTTGGCTGGGCTCTTGTTAAGGAGGTTTAGTTTTGAGTTACTACAATAGGGATCTATAAGGGTTCCTTTAGGGGTTCGGGATTTAGGGCTTGGAGGTTCATGGGTAGTTATAAGTGATGTTATTTCCCCAGTATTACCCTTTTTGATTTGATGGTTCCCGAAAGGGTTCTTTAAGGGATACTTAAAGGGTTCTACAAAGGATCCATAGTATAAGGGTCTACTGGGTTCCTGAGTAGTACCCTTCTTGCCCTCTTTGTTTGGGGGTCTCCTGAACAAAACCGGATACTAGGAAAAAGGGTACCCTTATCAGGAACCTAGTGTAAGATTTTCGAGAATAGTGTTAATGTCATGACATTTGCCAGCTCGCCCTTTAGTCAAGCAACCGGGAACGTGCAGATACGTAACATAGGGGCCGTAATAGTTACCTACACTATTCTCGGGGCTCCTTATTGTAGTTACAGTACAATATACCCCAAAACCCCATTTCTAATTGTTACGGCACCCATATTAGCCCTGCTATCCTGGGCTTCTTGCAGCTGAGGAAGAGAGTTCATCAAGACTTCAAGGACGTTCTGTTGAGCATCCGACTTTTGTGGTCCATTCCGATGTTCGTTTGTTTTGTTCGGTTTGATTTCCGCATCCTTTCCACAAACCTAAAGGTTACCTGAAGTCAAATGAAAACAGAAGCATCGAGCGCCAGAAACCCAGAAGCACCCCTTGATGCAGGACCCAACCCGAAGGAGAGCGCTTCAAATGGCGAAGAAGCGGAAAGAGCAGGCGCAGGTCCATTACAGAGTTTCCAGTGGGGCGCTGCTTGTATATATGTAGGGCTTCATAGTTGAGCAGGGTGCTGCTGTCTTTTACAGTATCGCGGCAAAGTTATCTCGGGGCTTTCATGGACATTGTTACCAGTTGCATGTGGGTAATGGGTGGGAAGCCGGAACGGAGAACGATAGAAAGCTGCAAGGGGAAGCACGGGTGTCCTCCCCACCCCGGCCCCAGGGCGTGTGGTGTGACTAAGTTGCTTAAACCTATACTGAACTTAGAACCCTAGCAAAAATCATAATTTTAGCTGTTTCTTAGGGATTATAATAACCAAGAATTCAACATTAGTTCTAAGAGACAAGCAGCTTCCAAAAAGCTCTGGGGTTAAGGGTTTAGGTTAGGGTTCTCTTCCGGTGTCCTGTCCATTTGGGGGCTGCCGGCACCAGAACAAAGTTAGTTAGTTAGTTAGGGTTCTCTTCCGTTTCAAGGCCAAGAAAAGCGAGGAGGAGAAGAAGACCGAAGAAGCCGCTGAGGACCCTTGGAGTTTACAGCGTGCCCTGCTTAGCCGGGCAATCTTGGGGTTTAGGTTTTAGGGCTTTAGGGGGCCGGGATCCTTAGTAGTAGAGCTTAGGGGTTTACGGTTTAGGGCTTTAGGGTTTAGGTTTTCGGGTTTCGGGTTAGGGTTTGGGGGGTTTAGGGTTTAGGGTTTCGGGGGGTTGGGGTTTAGGGTTTAAGGTTTAGGGTCCTGATTACCCGGGAAGCTTGCAGATACTCTCAAATACCCCAAAACCTTATTCTAGTCATGAAGGCCCCTTCATCCTATAGCCCTTATGGTACCGCTTCAGTAACCATTGTAAAGCCCTGTTAAAGACCCCCTAAAGCACTGCGCTCAGCTTCACGCTATCGCACGTTTTTGAGGAGAACGGCGGGCAACCAGAAGAGGGAGAAGCGGAGAAGGAGCCGAGCTGCATGGGGTTTCCCAGAGACTCCAATATCCCTTAATTCAGGGATGTACCTTAAATTATAGTAGGACCCCTCAGGATTTTAAGGAGTATTCCTTCATTAAGGGATATTGGAGTCCCTGGGTTGGGGATTCGGGTTAGAGTTTAGAGAATCGGGGGTTTTGGGTTTAGGGCGGATTAGGGTTTTGATGTTAGAGGGGGGGGGTTTTAGGTTTCGGGCAGAAGGATGCATCGCAGGCCAACCTGGCCCAGTACTTGGGGGTTCATGGGACTTAGTACAGTTATATGGACCCTAACTGGGGTTTAGGGTTTAGGGTTTTGGAAGTATAGTTACGGTATTTATTACTATTGTTACTAAGCCCCATGAACCTTGAAGTAGCCAAGCTGACAGTTACCTGAACCCCAGGCTCACCCAGCATAATTACGTAGTACACTTTTTGGGGGCTTCAGAACTCAGCAACTAAGATTAGTCAAGTGAGCCGCTTCGCCTTGGAGCCAGGAGAAGCCTGAGGAGGGCGAGGAAAAGGTGGACAAGGCGGAGGCACCTTCAGGGATTTAGGGGTTTAGGGGTTTGGGGGTTCAGGGTTTGGGGGTTTAGGGTTTGGGGGTTTAGGGGTTTGGGGGTTCAGGGTTTAGGGTTTTGTGCATGCAGGTTAGGGGCTTAGGCGTTTAGGGGCTCGGAGACTTTAACCTTTCCTAAAGCCTAGAGTAAGCCCTTATTCCCTTTTTGTAGAGTTCAGGTTCCCTTATAAGCCCTTTTTAGCCAAAAAGGGCACCCTTGTTATTCCTAGGTTACTCTTAGGTCTAGTTTCGTGCCCCTGTAAGAAAAGCAAAAGGAAAACGGCTAGCGGGGTTTGGGATCGAAGGTTTGGGAGCTTATGCAGGCCTTGGGGACTAGCTTTACTCATGAAGGCGATCCATACCGCACACTTTCATGAACTTTCAGAATCCCAAAAACTTGAAACTAAAAATCCCAGAGCCCGCAAAAATCAAAGTCTTAATCTAAAATCAACACCCTAACACCCAGAAACTTACAGACCCAACCTGAAGCCCCAAAGCCATAAAAGAGGCGTGGGAAATGATTTCTGATACGAGTGCTTAGACTTGCTTTCCTATAAATAAAATAAGAACCCCCGAAACCCTATTCTATTACCAGGACCCAGCCTAAGAGGCCTCTGAAGACCCCAGAAACAGGAGCAGCCGGACGAGCCCGAGGAGATGAAAATCGATGCCGGCTTCCCAGTGGCCGCAGACCCAGAGCCTCCAAAACCTCTTTATTAAGGAATATACCTTAAAATCATATTAGGGATCCTATTATAGTTTAAGGTATATTCCTTAATTAAGGGGTTTTGGAGGCTCTGGGGAGCTGCTTGCTTGCTGCCCTTGTGTGCCTGCGTGCATGCATACCTACATACATGCATGTATGCACGCATACTACGTATGTATATGTGTATGCGTGTATGTAATTACATTTATGCAAGTGGATATAAATATATATATATATATATATATATATATATATGTATATGTCAATGTTTAGATCTGTATATATGTAGACGTATGTACATATGTACGTATGTATATCTGTATATATGTATATGGGTGTATATAAGTATGTCTGTATGTATATATGCTTATATGTGTTAAGCTTAATTTTATGTTTATATGTTTATGTGTATATATGTATATGCCTGTGTGTCCGATGTCTGTATGTATGTATGCATGCGTGCAAGCATGCATGCACATGTGCGCATGTGTGCCTGTGTTTTAATACTTAATTGCAAGGAGCATAGGAATACCGAGAATAGTCGCACATGTATACATACACATATGTCACAGGCCGTCAACACTGAACCCATACTCCCAAGACCCGGAAGCCCGAAACCATCAAAGATCAATCATGTTTCGGGAGCGTCCTTCCAACAGTCGGGCATGCTACAGAGTGGGGTTGAAAGCAGCAGACTCGGACAGCCTGAACCCGAAACCCTAACCTAGTAGTAGAGTAGGGAACCTTTAACCTCTTTTGGGTAGTATAGTCCCTATATAGGCCCTATATAACCAAGAAGGTTAACCTTTAGTTCCCCATGATACCCGACAAGTAGGCTAAAGCGAAGTTCATCAAAGGAGGCACCCTAAACCCTGAACCCTAAACCCTAAACCAAGAACCCTAAACCCTGAACCCTAAACCCTGAACCCTACACCCTAAATCCTAGAGCCAAGTTCATGAAAGGAGGCCAGTTCTGCGATCTGCACAGTGACTTTACTTCGTCATTGTCGGTCGCTCTGGGCCTTTGCTGGCACCAATCCTTGCAGTGCCTACTCTTACCTTTGGTTAGTAGGGAATGGAAGAATGGTAGTAAGAGGAGTTATAATTGCACCACAATCCTCCATTCCCTACTAACCGAAGGTAAGTAATGGGTTTGGGGTTTAGGGTTTCCTTCACTAGGTTCCTGAATGGCAAAGTATATCATTGTTGAATATAGAACCCGCATTGTACATGTATTTAGGGACGGTTGAAATTGACACCCAGTTTGCCCCTCATTGTACATGTATTTTGAAATCGACACCCAGTGTGCGTTTGCACGCTTCCAATCCCGGGTTGAGGCTGCTTCTTTGGATCCCTTCGCTGTCGAGGCGGCGCCGGGGAGAGAAATGTGCGGAGTTTCCGACAATAGGGGACCCTTTAAGGGCTCCTTTACGGGATCTATAAGGGGTTGTATTAAGGGTTTAGGGAGTAGGGAGTTTCCGAAAAAGGGGACCCTACTATAGTACCCTAAATAGTAGGATCCTTACAAATACGAACCCAAAACTACAGTATCCTTCATTTCCGGAAACTCCCATGTAGGTAAAGTGCACAAGGGGGACTAAGACTACATCAAAGTATAACTAAAATGAGGAAATGTAAGGAATCTTGGTACTAATCAACCCTAAACCCTGAACCCTAAACCGGTACTAATCATCCCGGGGACCCTGGGAGAGCCCGAAGCCTGGCGAGGATGTTGCCGACCTCGGAAACGGGGAGCCGCTTTTTGCGGAGTTTACCTTCGAGGAGCCCAGAGGGAGAAGAGTGCAGGATGCCCCACGCACATTCAAAGAAATATATATATATATATATGTATGTATATATAGATACAGATATAGATATAGATATTGATATAGATATAGGTATACACATATATATATATATATATATGCATATACACATGGGTGATTGTCAAAATTATGGTCCCTTTTTGGGTACCCTAAATAGTAGGTCCCGTATTATAATAAGGACCCAGAAAGGGAACCTATTTTTATTTTGACAACCACCCATGTGTAAATATCAGTCTACATATACATATATAGATAGATAGATATCATACACATATGTATACGTATATATACGAGCACATACATGCAAAAGAGAGAGAGAGAGAGAGAGAGAGAGAGAGAGAGAGAGAAAGAGAGAGAGAGAGAGAGAGAGAGAGTTCAGGGCCTGAGCAGTTCGAGGCAGGCCTTTGGGGCCTTTCCGAATTTTCCCTCATGGGGGGCTGCAGAGGATCGTAGTCGCGAATATGTTCAGAGGTTTTCCAAGGATTCCGATATGGAAGTTTCCGAAAACTAGGCACATCTTATTTTGGGGTCCTTATGACAAGGATCCTACTATTTAGGGTACTATATTAGGATCCCCTAGTTTCGGAAACCCCCATATGGTCTCTCTCTGTTTTGTTTCTGGAGGAGAGTACTCAGCAACAGTGCTCCCTGTCGGGTCCGTTCTTTCAAGCGCCTGAGCAGCTGCTCTCATCACTAAGGTCCCACATTACGAGGTTGAGCTCCATAATCTCGGAATACATAGCAACAACGTTCTCCTAGAGTCTCTACATAACCTTACCATGGTGCACCCTAACACCGTTTTGCAAAATAGTGCAGTATTGCAAGGCACTACGAGGATTACACGTTCTCAGGGCTCCATGTCCAGTCAATTTTTTTGGCGCAAGCGCGCATTGAGGTTGGCCATTATACTCCCGAAACAAGTTTATGGCTCTTCGGTCGGAGAGAGAAAGAGAGAGTGAGTGAGCATGCGCAGAATTCAGACCTTTCCTGAAGCTAGAGGATCTCTGTCCTTGGGCAGGACTGGATGCTGCTGTCCTTGAGATTCGAGCTCCTGCCTGAGAGCTGACACTAGGGCCCAGAGTAGGCCCTTGTTCCCGGTTTTAGGGTTCAGGTTCCCTTATAAGCCTCTTTAAATCAAAAAGGGCACCCTTGTGATTCCTAGGTTATTCTTAGGTCTATCTCTATAGTCTCCTTAGGGATTATCTTTCATTTTTGTTTATATAAAACCCTATAAAATATTAAAATTATGATTGTTATGATGGTTCTACGGGGGGATATAGTTTGAGTACAGCCCCCACTCAGTAATAGTTGATATATTAGGACCTCAATAGCAGCCCTACTATAGACTCTTACTGTATGGGGGCAGTACCTACGGTATGGTCTGTGTTAGGACCCGGAGTAGGCCCTTATTCCCTTTTTTGGGGGTTCAGGTTCCCTTATAAGCTCCTTTAAGGCAAAAAGGGCACCCTTTTTATTCCGGGGTTACTCTTGGGTCTAGTCTGTGTTAGGACCCAAGCTTCCATGAAACCATGCGTTGAATCCTCAAGGGCTACAGCTCCGCCTTCGTGGCCTTTGTTTCGTGGTCCTAAGACCTTTAGGGTTTAGGCTTAGGGTTTGGGGCTTAGGGTTTAGGGTTGGGGCTTAGGGTTTAGGGTTTATTGCACGATGGAGTTTGAAACATCAGTAGCAATGTCAAGCTTCCTGAGGGCTGCAAGAAGAACTTAAGATGCCACCATTCTAGAACCCTTAGCAAATCCTCTTCTAGAACCCTTTTTTCCAGGCCTCATAGAACCTCAAAGGGCACCCTCATAGAACTCAATAGTAGTAGAGTGAATAACCTTCAATGAATGCCAGTTCCCATGGGATACTGGATAAGCGGACTCTCCAACGGCCTACGCAAGTTTGTCATACAGCAGGGAAAGTGGGACGAGAATATTTACAATGACAAAGAGCTAGGCTAGATTGGGCTGAAGAGAGAAGGGGAGATAGGGGAAGCCTTCAACAGGCTCTTTGCAAGCGCAGCCCACTGTTGAGGCTTCACCTGCTCTGTCATGCCTTTCGACATGACTTGGTCATGAACTCAGATTGCTTTGGGGGCCCTCTATCTGTACCGATAGACTTATATATTCATATATATATATATACACACTTATATATGTATGTATACAAGTGTGTGTATATATATGCATTATTTGCTTATACATAAATATCTATATACAGTAATATATATATATATATATATATGACCAGAAGGCGCCCCAAAGCCTTGGGACATCCTTCAGAAAGGATCTCAGCAGGGCCACACAAAACCGCCACAAGGGTCGATTGATGTTCTCTGCCCTTATAGGAGCCCTTATGGATCTATAGGGTTCCTTAAAGGGATCTATAGGGTTTAGGGTTTAGGGACTACTTAAAGGTTCATGGGACTTAGTAGCTGGGGTTGTAACTACGGTAACTATACTTCTTATAAGTTCTAACCCCAGTCAAGGTACTTATAACTGTAGTTACTAAGTCCAATGAACCTCCAAGTAGGAGCCCTTATGGACCCCTTTAAAGTCTAAGACCCTATACCAAATCCTTATAATAGCCCTTCCAGACCTCTTTAAAGGAGCCCTAAACCCTATTTAGGACCCTGCAACAGAGATGCGCAGGGGTCTTGGAAGGTACTTGGAGGGTCGGGGGACTTAGTAAGTAGGTAGTAAGTAGACTTATAAGTACCCTAAAAGGCACCCTAATTGGGGTTATGGTACTTATAAGTCCCTAAAATAACCAGTTACTAAGTCCCCCGACCCTCCAAGTAGGCTTCTAGGGAGGTTCTGTTAGGCTTTGGGGGCTCGGGGGATGCCTTTGGAGTTCTTTTAGGGCTCCTTTGAAAGATGGCTTCGGCGGTCTATACAGCGTTAAACTTGCTTTTACAAGGTTTTTGGCGGGTTCATAGAGATTTTAGTGTGGTTTCAGCCCTCAACCACTAAACCCACACTTCAAAGGCTTTAATACAGACAAGGGCCTTAAAAACAGAATACGGTCGTGGGTTTGTGGGATTTCAAGGTATCTTGTCGTGTTCCATAGTCTTGGGGCTTAGTCAACATCAAGTTGTGGCCTAATCAGCACGGACACCCTAAAGGCATCAGCTTTAGGGTATTGTTCAGACCGCTCTTTTTTAGGGGTTTACAGTAAAAGCCATAAGGTATCCTACCCTGAAACCATATTCCAACTTTCTGGAGTTCCCTTTAGGCTTCACGGGATCTTGGCGTGTAGGCTCTGAGGCTGCAGGGCATCTGGGGAGTTCGTTCTCTTGCATTAAAGGGAACTCCAGAAAGTTGGAATATGGTTTCAGGGTAGGATACCTTATAATCGAGGCTTCTACTAGGATGCCCAGTAGTGCCCTTATTCCCTTTTTGTAGTCCTAGGTTCCTTATAAAGTTACCCAATACCAAAAAGAGAGGCCTTTTTATTCTTAGGTTACTGGGTATCCTAGTCTAGAAAAATTAGATCTTTGCCAGTGCCTGGGCTCAGGACGATCCTGATCGGCCAAGCTTCAAAGAGAACCACTTCAGCTTCTACTACCAGAAGTGCCCTACTTCGCCCTTGCCACTGCTCTAGCTGAGGTTGAGAGGATCTTGCTTCAGAATTTTTTTCAAGGGATTTGAATATCAAAGGGCCAACCTGCTATGAAAAGAACACATAGGTGGATACGTCGTTGGGTAGACAGGTATTTAGGTAGGTAGCTTGCTAAATAAAGATCCCTTATCTACAATGTGCTCCCATCTATCTATCTGCTTGTCTAGTGCAAGTAGTTACATTCGTTTGTGTGCACGCATGCCTTCATGTAACTCTGTAGGGGCATGCGTGTATGCATGTGTGTTTGCATACGCATGCTGTTTTGTACGTTCTCAAGCATGTCCTCTCCAGATGAGCGCCTCTGCGTCTCAGCATGCGTTGTGTTCCGCCGATGCATTCTCGAGTACATTTCCGCTCCAAAACTTATTCATTCATGCAGTTTGGTATTTGATCGGACTTAACCTAGTAACTAGTAGTCGAGTAGGTAGCCTTTAACCTTTTTTGGGTAGCACAGTCCCCGTATAACCCCCATATAACCACAAAGGTTAACCTTTAGTTCCCTATGATACCCGACAAGTAGGTTAAGGATCCTGAAAGACACCACGCCCACAAGAACCCCCTGGGTTGTGCTTTGGGATAGTTTGTAATTTCCCGTATCTCCTTATAAAGGGAACCTATTCATAAATAACTTTCAAAAGCACAACCCAGCCCTAAAAAGCTGAAACATCTGCAGATGACCAACAGAAGGATGAGAGATTGCCAATGCTTGGAGGGTCGGGGGACTTAGTAAGTAGGTAGTAAGAGACTTATAAGTACCCTAAAAGGGACCCTAATTGGGGTTATGGTACTTATAAGTCCCTAAAATAACCAGTTACTAAGTCCCCCGACCCTCCATGTGTACTTGTATGCATAACAGAAGCGAGGATGCACCGGAACCCTTGCCTAGGAAGCCTGCCTACAAAAGCTCTGAAGAGCCTCTCGCAAAAGGCCGTCGACGCAAGGAGAAGCAGAAGCAAACAAGCCTGAACCCGAAACCCTTAAACCCTAGCTCGTCCGAAAAGCAGCGCTCAGCCTAGCAGCCTGGAAAATGGGGACTTGCAGCCCCGAAATGCACAAAGAAAACAAGAGCGCGAAACAGCTGTGCAAGCCGCCTCCATAAGAGGCAGTGCACTGAGGCTGGCGAAGTGCAGAGCCGGAGCACGCAAAGCTGCTGCAACAGCACGAAACAAGCGCACTTACCGCCGCCCAGCTAGCCGAACCGCGAGCAGTGGCTTGACATGTAAAGGGTAACATTTAATTGCCGAAGCTCAGAACCCCCACAACCTTAACCCCTAAGCCCCCCCCAAGTAGTAGAAGGGAACCTTGAACCTTTTTTGGGTAGTATAGTCCCTATATATTCCCCATATAACCAAAAAGGTTAACCTTTAGTTCCCCATGATACCCGACAGGTAGGCCCTTAAAAAGGTACTACAAGCGTGGCTTCAACTTGAAGAGCTTCGGAGTTGAGTCGACAGAGGGCCTCATCGGCCTCATCAAGGACACCGCCGGCTCCTCAATGCTTCCAGGGCCGAAGCTGCCACCGGGGTTCTGGAGTAATGTCGGAACCTGATAAAAAAAAACAAACCTTGGGCCTTTATTGGGGTTCATTATATGAATCCTACTATTTGGGGTTTCTAGGCCCAGGGTTTCTTGATCAGGTTCCTACATTACCATGCTTGAATAATGGTAGGGGCCTTAATAAATAGAATAGGGTTTCGGTGGTATGTTATACTTTAAGGTTTAGGGCTTAGGGTTTAGGGTTTCTTGAGCCATCTAGGTTGTGGAGTACCATGTAATAACTACAATCGGGTTTCGGGGTATGTTATACTATGATGCCTAGCGTTTAGCGTTTAGGGGTACCATACTAGGTGGCACGTTGATGGTTGCGTCGGGTTGAAAGAAGAAGCGTTTAGACACAGGCATTAAGGGCCTCAGGCAACCATGTCTGTTGGCTCTGTTGGTAATATTGACAGCAAGTCATGTGAGCTTCCGGCTGAAGTTAGCGGTATGCAGTTGCGCAGGGATCGGGTACGCGAACTCTGGGTCTTGCCGCGTCGGGCTTGCGGTGAGACGTTTTCCTACAATCTCCGATCACTGGAAAAGGGGTTGGTATGCATCTGACGTGCAATAACCCTAAGGGTCCATGTACTCATACAGCATATACCTGGGCCCCAAAGTATGTACATAGGGACTACATTAAGGCCTACTTTACTTATCACCCTACTTACTACGTCCCATGATCCTTTAAGTGATGTCTTCGAAAGCAGTCCTCAGGACAGGCTCGAAGCATAGCTGAGTCGGGAACACTCCGTGTAGTGAGCATCCTGCTGTTTAGATTCTATGTTGGGATCCGTTATGCCGAAGTTACGAAGTCCTGAAACCGCAAGCCCCAACACCCCACTCTATCCGGCTTTCGAAGGGCTTGGGGTTCAGAAGACCAAAGACTCCAAGCCCAGACGCATGGAAGAGGGCCTTGCATTTACAAACTATCTCTCGGCATAAACAGTAGGTTTCTTACTCTTAGTCTCGATATACCTATTATCTTTCACATATTTTTGAAGTCTCGTGTTACAAAAAGCCCAGAAGCCCCCAATCGTTCTAAAGTCTGAAAGCTGCATCCCTCATCCCCTGAGTTGAAGCTTCGCAGAGCCCTCCGACCCTCCAGGAGCTCCCTGAACTAAGCTTCACATAGCAGGATCCTTTAGAAGCTGCCCCCACCCTGTAGTCGTGGCTATAAGGATTATATTCGGGCCCTATTCTATTCCTATTATACCACTATTACAGGGTGGGGGGCCCCTTCTAAAGGATCCTCTGAATCGGGCTTTAGAGCCGATCCTGTTGAGTTGGCGGGGCCAGATTTAGAAAAACCTATACTATTTTGAGGGTTCCTTATTATACCTAGTAGTCGAGTAGGTAACCTTTAACCTTTTTTGGGTAGCATGGTCCCTACATAATCCCTATACAACCAAAAAGGTTAACCTTTAGTCCCCCCATGATACCCGACAAGTAGGTATAGTTGTAGCATCGGGCTCCAAAAACCTGTTCTAAATATTAAGGCCCCTTTGTTACAACCTCCTCCGCCCTAAATCCTCTTGGACCCCCCGCGCTGAGTTTCCCTACGGTTGATGATATAAATCCTGCATTACCCATAATAAGGAATATACCATAATTCCCAAAAACCCTAAACCCCAACACCCCAAACCCCCAAACCCCCAAGCCCCAAAACCCTAAACCCTAAAGATCCCTCATGGATCCCTTTAACGGAAACCCCATAGTTTCGGGTCCTTAAGGTAATGCAGGATTTACATCATCATCAGTAGCTTGAAGCCCAGTGGTTCAAAGCTGCGGTTTTGGGACGGATAGGAACCCTATCGATCCCTTTAAGGAGCCCTTTAAGGAACCCTTACTAAGTCCCATGAACCTTTAAGTAGCTAGAGTAGGATTCCTTTAAAGGGGTCTATATAAGGGCTACTATCAGGGATCTAGAAGGGTACTATATATAATATAGGGTGCCTTAATAATTAGAATGGGGTTTGAGTTTCCCTAGCACCCTAAACCCTAAACCCTCTAGATCCCTTTAAGGAACCCCTGTAGATCCCTTTAACCTTTAAGTAGCACCCTTCAGGTGGAGTTGACTCCCAGCGGCTCCTTGGAGACGCAGCTGAGCAACGACACGCCCCTAGATAACTTCCTCCGCCTGACGGAGGAGCTTCGGGGCTTAGGAGCTTAGCCTTAGGGCTTTCGGGTTTAGTTTTTTTGGGGGTTTTAGGGGCTTAGGGGTTTAGGGTTTAGGGCTTTAGGAGCTTAGCCTGTGGGGTTTAGGGCTTTAGGGGTTAGTTCTTTAGGGCTTAGGGGTTTAGGGCTTAGGAGTTTAGCGTTTGGGTTTCGGGTTTAGTTTTTTTGGGGGTTAGGGTTTCGGGCTTAGGCGGGAGGGGTGGGGCTGAAGACTTAGTAGTGCTAGTCTGTAGGGTTACTATACGGTAGAATAGCCCTATTCGACGTATTCACGCGCTCCATGTTGCCCAGAAAACTCAGGGCTCTTGCAGCTCTTTCATTCGCAACGCGGCCTGCAAGCAACACCCCTCAACCTGCACAGGGCTCTTGGGGCTCTAGTGTTGATATGTTACATATAATACATGTGAATTAGCAAACCTGGTATCATGCAGAATATATGGTATATCTCACACCCTAAACCCTTAAACCCCTCAACCCCTAAACCCTAGACCCTAACCCCTAAACCCTAGCCGTTTAGGCTTCTCTGGTTGTCATGGTTTGGGGGCTCTTCGGGCGCAAGTTTTCAGGGCTTCTGTGCAAAGTAGGGGCCTTCGTAACTAGAATAGGGTTCCTTTACAGTCGTCTATAGGGGCTACTATAAGGGGTTTCTAGGGGTTTTAGTAACTAGAATAGGGTTCCTTTAAAGGGGTCTATAAGAGCTGCTATAAGGGGGTTTCTAGGGGCCTTAGTGACGAGAAGAGTGTTCCTTAGGCTTGTAAAGGCTTAGCTGGGCTTTTAAGTGACCAGGGAAAAAAGTACAGACGTTTATTTCATAATGGTTCCTTTGAGAAAAAAGTATTAATGTAGGGTACTCCAAAGCCCAGTAGAGGCTTGGAGTTGGGGGGGCTCCGGGCTTCAGATTTCTCAAGTCGTGGTGGATCCTGGGGTCTACTTGGAGGGTCTTTAGGGGACTTAGTAAGTTGGTAGTAAGTAGGCTTATAAGTACCCTAAAAGGGACCCTAATTTGGGGTTATGGTACTTATAAGTCCCGAAAATAACCAGTTACTAAGTCCCCCGACCCTCCAAGTAGGGTTTGGGCTGCCGGATGCTTTAGCTTGGAGTGTGTGGGTCGAACATAAAGGTCGGAATAGTTAGGAACATTATTCCTTTAGGTTCGTTAATATACTAGGATGCCCAGTAGTACCCTTATTCCCTTTTTGTAGTCCTAGGTTTCTTATAAAGTTACCCAATACTAAAAAGGCAGCCCTTTTTATTCCTAGGTTACTGGGCATCCTAGTATAAGTGCAGAGTTCTACCCCAGGAGCCTGTTTTAGTTATGAGGAGCTCTACTTTCAAGCATTTGGCCTTGGGTGTAGACTAGAATTATAAGACATAATATTACCCACCCTAAAACTGAAAGTGTACACTTTTAGGGGCTCAGGAACTCAGCAACTACGGTTGATGGACAGAATCCTGCATGACCCTAAGGACTCTAAACTATGGGAATTATGGTATACTCCTTATAATGGGTAATGCAGGATTTTGTCCATTGTAGGACAAGCCCACTGGTCGGGACGAGGGCTCCCTTGAGGCTTCCTCAAGAAGGGCTCTACAAGAAGGGATCTGTATAGGGTATATACTTACAGCAGTGTGGGACTTAGCAACTAGGGTTAGAAATAAGGTAGCCGCATGTACGTATGATTAGGTACAGCTCTTATGGTGTTTTTGGCCTTAATTGCTTTCCCCTCCAAGTAGCATCATCCATGAAGGCAAGGAAACTCACGACTCCGCGAGGAACAATCACGGCGACATCCACGATCATGACCTTGGGTACTGGTATGAGCTAAGCACCTCAACAACTCCTGACTGTTGGAAACACCAACCCACCATCTGCATCATCACCATCGTTATGAGTGCCATCTGCTTCTTCGCCGCAAGCCAACGGCAAAGAGAGCAAACCTGGCCACTGTTACGGGAATATGAAGTGTTGCAGAAAGAAGGAGGTGAAAACACACAGACAGGATTTACAATCAGGTCACAACCGGAGTTCCAGACTTTCAATCCGCGACGTAGATATGTGCTTAAAGGTTCATGGGACTTCGTAACTACGGGTAGAAATAAGGTAACTATACTTATAATTGGATATAACCCCAGTTAGGGTACTTATAACTGTACTTACTAAGTCCCACGAACCCCCAAGTGTTGTTTGCCGTGCTACAGCACAGATTGACAGGATGCGCGTCGAGATCGACAGCTTCGTATCGATTCCGGCGATGAGCCTTCGGCAAAGTGTGGAGTACCCTAACTGGGGTTATATCCAATTATAAGTATAGTTACCTTATTTCTACCCGTAGTTACGAAGGCCCATGAACCTTTAAGCACATATCTACTTTAGCTTGTAGATGGAAGTTGGATTGAGAAGAGGTCCCGAGTCCAAGCTTTGGGGCCCCTTAGTCTCGCAGACTTCGGTATGCGGAAGCTTGGTGCATGATCCTTAGGTTTTAGGGTTTAGGTTTTAGGGTTTAGGGTTTAGGTCAGATAGTTCAGATAGCAGTTGTAGCAGCAGCAGCCGCGGCAACAGTAGCAATCGCAGTGCTAGCAGCAACCGCAGTAGCCGCCGCAGTCGAAGCGGCAGTCGCCTTCGCAGGCGCAACAGAAGTAGGTGGTAGAAGCAGAAGTAGCAGCAGCAGCGGCAGTAGGAGTAGGAGTATTGCCACCACCACAACCACTGCTACTTGCAGTACCCAAGAAGAAATAAGGAGCTGGCGTACCTGAAATTCCAGCGGCCGACCCCTGCCGGGGCCTTGGCCAGACCTCGAAGAGCGCTGTGGCGGTGGTCTAACAAAGGGGGCCTTAGGGCTATAAGATGGTTTAGGGGTCCTATATAGGGGCTCCTTTAAAGGGCTCTATAGAAGGATCTACAGGGTTATAAGATGGTATAGGGGTTCTGTATCTGGGTTCCTTTAAAGGCCTCTATAGAAGGATCCATAGGGTTAGGGGTTTAGGGGGCCTCTGTCATCCGAAGCCAGGGTTCCTTCAGAGCTGCTGTTTCGGCCGCGGATAGGTCTATTCGAGCCATGCGAAAGTGCACATTAAGGCCGTGGATGGGTCTACGAGCCCACCGTTAAAGGGCTCCTTTTTTGCGGGATTTCTTTGTGCGTCTCTTATCGAATTCGATTCCGTTGGAGTGTGGGGGGTTTGGGCTCAGGGTTTAATATAGGAGTCTTAACAACTAGAATGGCGGTTTGGATGTGTTCTAGCAACAGTGTACCGTCCGGAGCCCTACGGAAAATCATCGGTAATTGTTCAGGCGTCGTAATTGCTTTTTAGCTTTCTGGATTAACGCCCTAGTATTCAAGTCGGCAATCTTTAACCTTTTTCGGGTAGTATAGTCCCTATATAATCCCCATATAACCTATAACCAAAAAGGGTTAACCTTTAGCTCCCCATGATACCCAACGCGTAGGAAGCAATGTAGGTGTTTAGTTTAGGCTTGTGGGGCTTGGAAGTGGCTTGCGGAGTGCAGGCTTTAAACCCTAAACCCTAAGCCCCTAAACCCCAAACCGTTAGCATGAGGAGTTTACGGTTTCGAGCATAGCGTTCAGAAGAGTGCGTTTCTCCGATAATCGAACTACTATACTTAGAGGAGCATGGGACTTAGTAAGGGTTCTTAAAGGGATCTATAGGGTTCTTTAAAGGGATCTATAGGGTTTAGGGTTTAGGCTCTACTTAAAGGATGATGGGACTTAGTAAGTAGGGTTTAGGGCTCCTTTTAAGGGAACCTGTAGGGTTCTATACTAGGGCTCCTTAAAGGGATCGATAAGGGTTCTAGCAGGAGGATCACGGGACTTAGTAAGTAGGGTTATAAGTAAAGTAACTACAGCTAGAATTACTTATAACCCCAATTAAGGTACTTATAGCCCTACTTGCTAAGTCCCATGATCCTCCAAGTAGAGGCCTCAAGAATTAGAATAGGGTTTTGGGTCCAGTACAGTAAACTATAAGTATAATTAATATGAACCCCCAAAATAGTATTGGTATTTATGAAGGCCGCGATATTCGCTTAAACGGTACCACCAAATTGAGGAGCCTGCACGTATTAAAGGGCTCGTTTCAGCTGGGGCTTACCGGTGGTTGCTGAGTCGGCAGCTCCCTTGACTTGAGGTTTAGAGCTTTGAGTTTTGGGTTTATGCTTCAGTTGAGGTTATGAAGCGTCTCCTAAATTCATTTATCTTCCGAGGCTCCGGCGGCGTATGAGAAGGGCGGCAAGGGCGTCCAGACCCAAGAAGCGCGAGATCTGGAGTGTTTCGTCAGTCTGGGTGAGACTTTGCGGCATGTTTTGAACCCGCCAATACAGGGGCCTCCATAATCACCAATACTATACTGGGCCCCAAAGCCCCCTTCTAACTTTTGAGGCCCATATATTATGATCTGATGCAGTCGCGCCTTTGCAGCACAACCTCGCAGTAGCAGCAACAGCTATAAGACTCTGCGTCATCAAATCTACTACTTAAAGGATCCTGGGACTTAGTAAGTAGGGTTAGAAGTAAAGTAACTACTGTTATAATTACTTATAACCCAATTAAGGTATTTATAACACTACTTACTAGGTCCCATGATCCTCCACGTAGCTCCGCCCGGGGCTCGATTGTGTCTCATCACTCGGCAGTAGATGTTAGTTTCGAGAACTTGAGCCTGGGCACAGTAAAAAAAAAGAGCTTCAATAGACACCAAGATTATGCATGATGGCTCCTTAACGCAATTCTACTGCAATAGACACCGAAACTATTTTCAACTAAATGGGAGTTTCCAAAAATAGTGGACCCTAATATAGGACGCTAAATGGTAGGATCCTTATTATAAGGACCCCCAAAGTAAGGCACCCCTAATTTTTTGGGAACTCCCGATTAAATGGCCCCCTTGAAGTAACCCGGAAGCCTGGGTGCCCAAAGAGAGCCGTTCCGCTCTGAAGCTTCCCCAGGCGCATCATGGCAAGGGGGCCGGGAGCCTTAGTAGTAAGGGTGGTTTAGGTAATGTAGGGTTCAGGGTTTAGGGGTTCCGGGTCTAGGGTTTAGGATTTTGTGGTTTAGGGGTTTAGGGCTTAGGGCTTAGAGAGGATGCCCAGGAGTACCCTTATTCCCTCTTTGTAGTCCTAGGCTCCTTATTCAGTTACCCAATACCAACAAGAGGAGCCCTTCTTGTTCCTAGGGCCGGAGCCTTTGCAGATGGGCGGTTGTCAAGATTACGGTCCCACTTTGGGTCCCTATTATAAGACGGCACCTCCCTTTTTAAGCTCCCTTTTCAATTGTTTAGGGTTCTTAAAAAGGGAGTCTAAGTTTTACAACCACCTAGATTTCTGAAACGAGCCGTTTAGCAAGTGGGGGCTCCTTAACTTTGTGGTACCGTTGAAGCTAGCCTGGGTTCTTGTTAAGGGGTTGAATTTTTAGGTACTGTCATATGGGAGCTTCCGAAAATGTGGGTACCTTATTTTGGGGTCCTTATTTTAAGGATCCCCTTATTTTGGGGCCCCCTAAATTTCAGAAACTCCCATACATATGATCCTTAGCAGATCTCTGAGCCGCGATCTGGGAAGAGAAAGATGGGCCTCGTCCGTTTGAGTGGTTCTCAAAATGTTGGTCCCTTTTTGGGTGCCTAAAATAGGATACGGCGCACTGTTATCTTAAGGTGCCCGAAAAAATCACCCTAAATTCGACAACTACCGATTTTGTAGTGGTCCTGATGAGCTTGAATGAGTGTGGTGGCACGGTTCTTGGCGATGATGAGGGCGAAATAGCGATCACGCTGGTCCTGGCTGGTGTCGGTGCCGCATGTGCTCATGGTGCTGATGCTTGTTTTGCTGCTGGTGTTAGAGAGGTGTCTGTTGTTGCTCGTTGCGGGGTGTTCATGATGGTGATGAAGTCGGAGTAGGGATGGGACCTGCTGGTGAGGCTAGCAGCCTAATATAGGGGCATTTAAAATTAGAATCAGGTTTTGGGGCCGATTATACTATAATTATAACAAGGAACCCCCAAAGTAGTATTGGTAATTATTTCAGCCCCTATATTAGCAGCAACAGCACAAGCAGCTTCCCACATCCACCTGCCCTGTGGTGGCATGGTGTTTCTCTCTCACCTTTTGGGTTGGATCTACTACTACTACTACTACTACTACTACTACTACTACTACTACTACTACTACGACTACTACTACTACTACGATTACTACTACTACGACTACTACTACTACTACTACTACCACCACTACCACTAGTAGGGCCACCACCATCAGAATCAGCAACACTTCAGGATCGGCTCTTTGAGCTTCATGGGCGTACTGGAGAGGGCCGGTGGGCAGGAGCAAGTAACCATCGCTATTGCAGCTGCCGCTGGGATACTAGGAACGTAAGTACCCGATCTGAGAAACTACGCGACAAAGTGACCACATCGCGAGCACCGTGTCTTTGACAAACCCTAAACCCTAAACCCTAAACCCTAAACCCTAAACCCTAAACCCTAAACCCTAAACCCAAGTCTGAGGCCTACAACAGAGGTCCACCGCCGCCGCCACCGACGTGCGGTGCTTAGTTTTCAGAGTTCTCGGCCTGAGGAGGTAAAAAGGATGAGCCATATAAACCCTCTGTACAATGAAGCCCAATATGGTGAGGGTTAGGGTTGCCAAAAAAAGTCTCCTTATCAATGAAGCCCAAGTGTAACCTTTTGGGGATTATATATATTCCTACCATAATTCAAAAGCTTAACAAATTTGGGGGCTAGAGAGCACTCACCATAACAACCCCGTAGAAAGACCTCTAAAATGCTTATGCTTATGTCCTTTTGGGCTCCCTAAAATACTACGAACCCCCAAAAAATAAAAAATATATTCCTTATGGGGGTAATAAAGGGATTATTATTTTTTTTGGGGGGGTTCTTAAGCAAATAGTAGAATATGCTTGCAAAACTGCACTTGTCATGGATACAAAGAGCTTAGGCGCGACAGAGTTTTCGTGGTTTTATCTGAAGAGAGGAGAATATGGGGCCCTGAGTAATTACCAATGTCATTCCTCAGGGTTCCTTAATATCTTGATACTACAAGATACCCCAAAACACCATTCTACACTATCAGGCCCCTATACTGCCCGATACTACTATCCTTGAAGAGGGTATGTCTGCTCGCACTGTCTACAAAGACTCCCTGTGGTTGCTGAAAACTGAAGCTGAAGCAGATCCGTGTGCTGCACTGAGGCAAGGTCGCCAGCCTTACAACTATTCAGGCCATGATGCCTCATGCCTCTCTCGGGATGGCCATTGAGCATTACAGTTTCCGTGCATCGCGTTGCGGCGGTAGTATGGAATACATCAAGTACGACAAAAGCTTTCGACGGTAGGAGCTGTAGAACGAAGGTTGTTGAGAATGTGAGACGAGTACGGTAGGACTCGCTTCACGGAGTTTTTTGCCGAAAATAGGGGACCCCAAGATAAGGAACCCCCAATTTTCGGAAACTCCCATGTGCTGTGGTGCAGGTGCCAGTCGCGGAGGAGCCCCGCCTGCACAAGGCCAGACCACTTACGCGCCGGGGAGCCCAGACTTTTGCGGTCAGAGATGTAGCACGGCTTAGGGTTTAGGGTTTTCGGGTTTAGGGTTTTAGGGTTTAGGGTTTAGGGTCCAGGGAGCCCAGTCGAGTAGGTAATATTCAAATTTGTTTGGGTAGTATAGTCCCTATATAATCCCTAAAAAACCAAAAAGGCTAACCTTTAGTTCCCCATGATACCCGACAAGCAGGTTTGGGTCAGAGAGGGCTCCAAGGCCGTAGCAGCCTTTAGGTCATGGCGGCTGCGGCTGCTGCTGCTTCTCCTGCCGCTCCTACTGCTGCTGCTACTGCTACTACTGCTACTCCTACTACTACTACTACAACTACTACTACTACTACTACTGCTGCTGCTATTACTATTACTATTACTATTACTACTACTACTACTACTACTACTACTACTACTACTACTACTACTACTACTACTACTACTACTACTACTACGGAAAGCCCTTTCGGCTTGGGGCATTTGATGGAGGATGAAAGGCTCTTGTCCACTTCGTGGCTGGCGCCCAAGTTACCTTTCGAAGCGTGGCATGCAACCCTTGTCCTGTCCAAAGAATCTACTATATAGGGGCTTTAAAAATGTCCATACTATTTTGTGGTTCCTTATTAGAATTATAGCTTAATATACACCAAAACCTTATTCTAATTATTGAGGCCCCTGCATCAAGGCAAAGCTAGAAAGCGTAAACTTGGAATAGGTTTGGGGCTTCCTTCTTGAAATGAAAAGAAGAAAAAAACGTACCCCGAAATCCTGTTCTAACTACTAAGGCCCCTATATTACGGGCCTGACGTTGGAACCTCATCCTCGTGCGATTCTTAGTTAAAAGTATGATAGTTGAAATTGAATAGTTGTACTTGTGATATCGCATGATAGAGTTACATTCTCGTATAGTACTTACACTATAGTATACTGTAATACGGCATAGTATGATGTTACAACAGAGCTTCTTCTGTGCTCGACTAGAGGCACGGAACAGTAAGTTAAGCTTGGCCCAAGCAAATTTGCACTCCACGGGTTGACCTGCGCCCATTCTCTTAGTTGCAGGCGACTTGAGTTTCAGTACACTTGCACATGCTCATGTGGCATTGAGGCAGAAGCGGCCGTACAATGAATCTGGCGGCCACTATCCAGCTGCGAAAACTCAAAGGACGGGCAGAATACTATCTTGGTGGCTCCTTATTGCTATAACTATAGTACTTATTATAACTATAATCATTATTATAAGTATACTCATTATTATGACTGTAGTCATTATTATGACCATAGTCATATTGTAGCTATAGTAATTGTTATAACAATAGTAACGGGTATATTTATAGTAAGTATTACCACTATAGTCATTATTCGCCTGCAGGGCCTCCTACGGTGGCACCCCGTCTCCTGCGACCTCCTACTCTGGAGGCATTCGGTTGGGGGTTGGGGAGGAAAGGGGACGGAAATATGAGCACACCCTGGTTTTTTGGGATCCGCTAAAGGGGTTTATAGGGGATCTATAATAAGGTTCTAGATTAGAGGCATCTTTTTGGGGAGACGCTGTTGGGAAAAGGTTGACTAATGACGACGAAGACGATGACGATGGTGATGGTGATGCTGATGAGGACATGGAGATGAAGGACGACGACGCGGGACGAGCGGAATGACGATCACGACGACCACGGTGAGAAGGATAAGCATGGTGATGGTGGTGGTGATGGTGATGGTGATGGTGATGATGACTACTGTCATAATCATGACGATGATGATGGAAATGATGGTAATGATGCTGATGATGATGACGATCAAGATGATCACGGCGATGATGATGATGATGATGATGATAACGGCTACGTCAATTATGATGCTTCTTCTGGTCATTCGCACCATGAAGATGGAGTTGATCGTGATTGTGTTCTTGATGATGGCATTTTCTTGGTCGTGATGATTGTGTGGAGACAAACGACGATAAGAACGATAATGTGAGTCATGCTAGGACGACAATGTGAGTTATGTTGGTCTTGTTGACGAATATTGAAAAGTAGTTGCTGGCAGCAGCAGTAGCAGCAGCAGAAGCAGCAGGAGGAGTAGGCGGAGGAGGAGAAGGAGGAGCAGCAGCGGCAGCTGGAGTAGCAGCAGCAGCAGCAGTAGTGGTGCTGTATAAAAACTGCTGGCAATCGTCGTCTTCTGGTCCAGCAGAAAAAGTAAGGCTCGGCCGGGCAGCAGCACGGCGGCCAGCGGTACCAGCGTGGAGGAGGCTTTGGGGTTTCTGCAAATCGTGGGATGTCGGCTCTTTCGGGGTGGATGTTTTTGGAGTCTTGGATTGTTCGCAGCCTGTTCTCCAAGAAGACACTTCTCAGACGTTGAGCACAAAAGCCAAAGAAGGAATCGATGGCTGGAAGATTCGTGCTGGCTGATATACCTGATTGATAGCGCTGGTTCGAAGGAGGCGCTGTGATACGGCTGATGGACAAAATCCTGCATTACCCATTATAAGGAATATACCATAAATCCCATAGTTTAGAGTCCTTAGGGTCATGCAGGATTTTGTCTATCAACAGTAGTTGTGTTGGGGGGAATGTGTGATTGAGGCTTGAAGGTGTTCGGCCGCCGGTGCAGAGAACAGCCCCATCCCATACTGTTGCTCTTGTTTTGATATGGGAGTTTCCGAAAATAGGGGACCCTAATATAGTACCCTAATTAGTAGGATCCTTATTATAAGGACCCCAAAATAAGGTACCCCTATTTTCGGAAACTCCCATATGGCTTTCCTCAGAAGCGGAGTATGTGGGAACTGAGCCTCAGCATACCTAGCAGCGGTCATAACCATAAACCTGATTAATATAGGGGCCTATACACTTGTATTTTTGGTGTTCCTTATTTGTAAGTAAAGTATAATGTACCCTAAAACCCCATTCTAGTTTTTTAGGCCAATATATAAGGCTACCATAAGCAAGAACCCCATAGACGCGACGTGACCTGGCTTCGCAGACGAACACGATGCGTGTGATTGGATGCACACTCGGCTGTCGAGCCTTATGAGGGGTGCACATTGCTTTAGCCTTAATATAGGGGCCTGGCCAAAACAATCAGTTAGCAATGACCATTTCCATTTTCTAACCATGCACCACCCCCTAGCACCCAAACCATAGCAACCTATACCTCAACCCTAAACCCAAGAATAGAACAACGACCACCCACGCTTCGCGTAGCATGCGCGAACCAAGGCCACCACCACCAAGGCGACCAACAGCAACGGAATTACTACAACAGTTATATAATGAAATGAAAAAGTTTAAGGCAACAAGAGAAACAGGAAAAGTTTAATGAGCTTGGATCAAGTATGTTTTATGTATTGTTAATTGATTTTGAACCGAAGTAATATGAATAATGAGTATGTATAATGGCAGACCAGAATTTGGAAGAATGCCACAGGTTCAACAATATTAGGACTTGGAAGAAACAGCAGGAGTAGCAAGCAGAAAAATATCTTCAATGCATGAAGATCAGAAATGAAGGAGCAGAGAACAGAGGCACAAATTTGTTAGACTTCGTAACGATTGGCCGCAAAATCAGAAGAAAAGCATATGTCAGGGACAACTGGACGATGTTAATCGTCAGTTCGAAAGACCGATGATGCCAGTGAGAACAAAGGAAGAACTACGAAAGAAACAAAAAGAATTAAAAGTTACAATGGCGGAAGTAATCTAGTATTGATTATATATGATTTACAACATTGAAGGCCTCAATTGAAATTGAGACCAACCTACGATAAAATGAAGGGAATGATTAACAAACAAGGGGATGTAAACCGCCCATCAACTGAAACAGCCATGGATAGAATAGCAACGTTACATAGAAACAACCAATTCGGAAGTCAGTTTGATAATATTGATTTTCTAGGATTGAAACAGCAAGAAGAAAGCGAAGTAAAGGAAGAATTGAGACAAACTCAATTGAAACAAACGGCAATGGTGACAGGTTCGTCAATGGGCATTTTAAGTTATGGTGGAAGAACTCCATTGAGTGCATATAATGCCGCTGATTTCGATACACCTACTAGTAGGGATTTTTCGACAGATGACCAGATTATGAGGATAAGGGCGGAAATGGAAGCTCACCCACCACAACAAAATGAAGCACGACAAAGGACAATAACCTAACTAATGGACAATTTCGACGATGTTCATAGATAACATTTACCCGCAGGTGTTCAAATTCAATCAATCGCAAGCGATACAGCAGATGATGAAGAAGATGAAGAGGTGCCACCGTTAGGAGCACCTACTGAATTGGCAGAAGAGAAAGAAGAAGGAAAAGAAGATGATGATGAAACACAAGTGCATCCACAATCTAGAAAGGATTACAACCTCGGAGATTCATGGGCTCTTCTGGCCGTGATGTATTCAAAAACGGCTGAGCTCTCCTATAGAAGCCTGAATAAAATACCTATATCATGCTCTAGGCTTCGTGTTTATGTTCATCCTAAAACGCACGCTAAACCCGTATTCTAGTGCTTGAGGTAACCCTTATATAGACCCCTTTAAAGGAAACCCGTAAGAGCTGAAATCCATCAGGTGGCTCCTATAGCGGAGCTCAGGGCGGCGGTGCCGGCGGCGGCAACACCAACAGAGGCGCCCCCCCGCGAGCCTTTTCGAATGTCAATCACAAAATGGGAGTTTCCGAAAATTAGGGGTACCTTATTTTGGGGTCCTTATGATTGGGATCCTACTATTTAGGGTACTATATTAGAGTCCCCTATTTTCGGAAACTCCCAAATTGAGAGGGTTTGGCATTTAAGGTTTTTTAGGGTTTAAGGGTTTTGCGGGGTTGGGGGTTTAGGGCTTGGGATTGAGGTTTCGGGTTTGGGGTTTGGGGGAGTTTAGGGTTTAGCGCATGGGGTAGCAATCTACTCGTAATAGTCTAGGACCCAGAGTAGGCCCTTAGTCCCTTTTTTGGGGTTCAGGTTCCCTTACCAGCCCCTTTCAAGCAAAAAGGGCACCCTTTTTATTCCTGGGTTATTCTTGGGTCTAATTATAACTACTATTACTATATTATAGTACCCTTATAGATCCCTTATAGTAACCCTTGTAGACCCCTTTATAAGGCCCCTTTCTTGGGTCTCGTCGTCGACGATGGGTGGTGACAGTTGGCTGGGTTGTTGCCATGCCCTGGCTGCCTCTGCTGCTACAGTAGAAGCACCCCCCAAAGGTAGGTAAAATAATGGCCCAATACCCTTTAAAGGCTATTATTCTACATACTTTTGGGGTTCGGGTGTACAGTAGAAGCCAGAAAGTTGGGGAATATCATTATCCTAAGCCCTTTAATGGTAAAATATAGGGGATCCTACCCTGAAACCATATCATTATCATAATCCCTTTAAGGTAAAGTATAGGGGATCCTACCATTAATCCATATTCCAACTTTCTGGAGTTCCCTGTACGAAATGTAGTATCCTTAAGGGAGGCGGGTCCGAGGGGGGTATATAGCCTAGTGATCCCTAATCCTCCCTAGTACTCCCTAAGGTTCCCTTACTGCCTTCAAGGATTCCTTATACCCTCCCCCCTTGAACCACCCTCCCTTAAGGATCCTATAACTGCTGCTACGAAATGGGCCTAAGTAGTTACCTACACAAGATTGGGGGTTCCTTACCGTAGTTATAGTTTAATATACCCCAGAACTCTATTCTACTCGTTAAGGCCCATGTATTACTAGGGTTTGGGGCTTAGCTCCTGCTCCTGCTCCTCCTGTTACTACCATGCGCGACTGCGGACAAACACGAGTACTACTGCACACGATAATCGAAACAGCAGCAGTAGCAGTGGCCATAATATGAGGTGGCCATTGCCAACGCTGTTTCAAGACTTCCGTTTCTTCTTCAGGTTCCTACATTCGTTCGTGGACGTGTCCGCTAGCGCTGGTAGTATCGTTCCTTAGCGATGTCACGGTTCTGCCAGAATCACTGTCACGATCACACTGCAAGCTACACATACTTAGTACTATACTAGTACTCTACTAGAGTACAAAACTAGTACTATACTATAGTACTATACTAGTACTATATCATAGTACTACGTTAAGCCCTGAGCCTGGCATTTGTTTCTTTTCCAGCCCGATGCAGCAATGCGACAGGTTACAACTCTTACTCGCGGCGGTGACGCGCGTAGCCGCCGGGGAACCAGATTGCTGTGACAGTAAGCCCTACGAGGCAGCGACAGCAAAACGGGTGTAGTGTAGTTTGTCATAAGAAAGCTGTTCTGCTCATGCAAGCGAGAGACGTAGTGATAGCCGGATTCAATAGAACAGCGCTTTGGGCACATCGTCGCAGTCTCAAGAAGGAAGGTCGCTGACTTCATACTTAACCTGGTACATTTAGCAGATGCCCCACATTTAAATGTGTTCCACCTCCTAATCATGCACAGCATTGAACAAGCTGCCGGTTGATAGACGACGTTCTCGCTGGTTGGAAAGCTGCCCCAGCCGCTTGCTGTTCAGCTCTGGAAGCCGGTTCACGAGCAGGCGCAGCGTCCGACTGAGGCCCCTAATGTAGGAACCTGCTTAAGGAATCTTGGGCCTTTATTAGGGTTCCTTATATGAACCCTACTATTTTGGGGTAATAGGCAGGGTTTCTAAATCAGGCTCCTACACTATATTAGCACAACCAACCGAACGATGTTGCAAGATGAGAGTTCAACTTCTCGGATGCTGCTCAACGACACACGAGTGTGTAGCCCCCATGACTCATTGCCACTGGAAGTCGTGTCAGACTGCAAGCTTCACAAGGAATCATGCCTATGTACGGAGCGCATCTAACAGCTAGCAGCAGTGCGAGTGCGTGTTGCCCTAGACTTCACGACCGCGGCTGACCTATGCGAGCGGAAAGAGTCGAAGTGGAAGGTGTCCGCCCCAAGCCGATAGGAGAGAGCTGTGCTATAGGGGCCTTAATAATTACCTACACTATTGCGCGGGGTTCTTCATGATATTCAAAGTACAATGGGGCTCCAAAACCCTATTCTAGTGATTGAGACCCCTACGCTAAGCAATCCACCCCTCCTGAAGGATAGGCCTGGCATTAGAGACCAGGCAGAGCTTTCTAGGTACGGCCCCCATACAGTAAGAGTCCACAATAGGGCTACTATTAAGGTCCTACTATATCCATATTATGAAAATGATTCAACTATTACTGAGCGAGGGCCGTACCCAACAGAGCTTAAAGGAAGCTTTTCAAAGTGACGATTTGTGCCACGCGTGGCATCTATGTCTGCATGCAAGGCTTGTGCAGAACCGCAGCTTTTCGTGCTACGTCGTGGATGCTGCGTTGTCGATATGAGGGAGGGTTGGTGTGTGCATAGTTGGGGATTGAATATGAGGATACTAGCAATAAACACCCAGCCTCATGGACCTAAACCCTAAACTCTACTTGATATCACTTGGCATGACTGGGTCATTCTCATGACCAGGCGGGACGAGAGCCAGGACCGCGCGACGGTGCGCCAGATCGTGCAGGACCCGGCACATGAAACTGCTTTGCAGAGGACCACCGCCTTAAGGGTAATGAGATGATGAATATGAACAGGGCAACAACAATATCGACAGATTGGAATATTTGTAATATATGCAAACATGACGGGCTGTTGTCCTTAAATAAGGTAGGTCATCTTTAGCCTGAGCTAAACCCTAAAGCCTGAACCCTAAAGCCTAATCTAGGGGCCGAAATATGTCCCGATAGTATTCCTCAGGGTTCCATTATTAGAAGTCGAGTTAGCACACAGAAACCCTAGTCTAATCATTAAGGCACATCATAGAGTCGTTGTAGCTACCCTTGTAGAATCCCCCAAAGGACCCCTGAAAGGAACTCTCTAAAGAAAGCCTCTTCTAATTAAGGCCCTTACTCCAAGGTTCATGGGACTTAGTAACTACGGTTATGAATAAGGTAACTATACTTATAATTGGATAAAACCCCGGTTAGGGTACTTATAAGTGTACTTACTAAGTCCCATGAACCCCCAAGTATACTTAACCCCAGAGGCCCCAGCCTCTAAAGGGAACTCCAGAAAGTTGGAATATGGTTTCAGGGTAGGATACCCTATAATTTACCATAAAGGGTTTAGGATCATCATATTCCAACTTTCTGGCTTTTACTTTAGGAGATCGTCAGCAGTGGCCAGTTGCGTGAGGCGGAGGCCGGCTTTAAGAATTCTATGAGGGGTTTAGGGGGTTTAAAGTTTAGGGGTTTAGAGTTTAGGGGTTTATGGTTTAGGATTTAGGGTTTAGGGGTTCGGGTTTAGGGGTTTCGGGTTTAGAGATTTTTAGGGCGGGGTTCTCTGAGGGCCCTTTAGGTCAGGATTTGTGTTAAAGGGGCCTGCACGGGTTCCGTAAAGGGGTTTAGGGTATATTCCCTCATTTTCAAGGGGCTACTCACTGAGTACCTAAACCCTAACCCTAAACCCTACCCCTGGCATAAAGGAGCTACTCAGGAGCTCATATAGCTTCCGACCTTTATCTAGGATACCGAGTAGTACCCTTTTTCCCTTTTTGTAGTCCTAGGTTCCCAATAAAGTTACCCAATACCGAAGCGGGAGCCCTTGTTTTCCTAGGATACTGGGACTCCTAGTAAGGGGTTTAGGATTCGATAAGGAGTTTAGGGTTTACGCTGCATCGGCTTCGGGTTCCTGTTCTCCTAGTAGTAGAGTAAGTAACCTTTAACCTGTTTTGGGTAGTATAGTCCCGGTATAACCCCTATATAACCGAAGTGGTTTACCTGTAGTTCCCCATGATACCCGACAAGGAGGTTCTTCTGATTCTTTGCATCTCAGGAATTCTAGCATTCGTATGTATGCGGGGGGGGGAGGGCGCAACCATTTGCCAAGTGTACAAAAATAGATGGATATACAGTGCCTGTGTGGCGAGCCCCAAGACCTTATTCATGAAGGCCCTTACCTCAACATCCATTTAAAGCATGATCTGTCCTATAGTTGAAAGTATTGAGGCCTTATGTGAATGCCCCTTTGAGGTCTCTCTGTAATTAACAAGCCCAAAAAGCTTTTGCTAACTGTCTCAAGCATACTTGGGGTTGCTTGGGACCAGGTTTTCGGCTTTAGTGCATGTTGCTTTGGGCCGGCTTTGATGTGTAGGCAGCCTTGCGATGACGATGGACAGTGTGATGATGATGACGGCCACGGGCAACAAATGGGAGTTTCCGAAAATAGGGGACCCTAATATAGCACCCTAAATAGTAGGATCCTTATTACAAGGACCCCAAAATCAGGTACCCCTAATTTTGGGGAACCGTCACAACGAGGGTGCTGCACTGCCAGCATGATGAGATGCAGCTCTGCTACTGCTGTTGCAGATGGCAAGAAATCCGGAGACGTCCGTCAGTCGTGTACTTGGAGGGGCAGGGGGACTTAGTAAGTCGTTTATAAGTAGGGTTATAATTGGGGTAACTCCATTTAGGGCACTTATCCGTCAGTCTTGCTTGGACCTGACAGTGGTCCAAGTGACCGGGCTTTCTGGTCTTGAGCGGTGGCTCACACCCTACATGGGAGCTTCCGAAAATTAGGGTACTCTATTTTGGGGTCGTTATAAAAGGGATCCTACTACTTAGGTGCTATAGCAGGGTCCCCTATTTTCGGAAACTCCCACATGCCAGGCTTGGGCAGATGTGCTTGGTACCTCTGCTGGAGATGTGAGCCCAAGCCGCAATTGGATTGACTTGGAATTCTTGCAGTAGTCCTAGGCTCCCTACACAGTTACCCAACACCAAAAGGGAGCCCTTTTTCTTCCTAGGTTACTGGGCATTGCAGGAATTGTTGCATCTGTCGGCAGGGACGTGAGTCTGCCGAAAGCCTAGACCCTCATTTCCATAGTCTCCGTTGGAAGTATTTTTTTGGTTGATATAAAACTCAAGAGAAATTAAAGATATTATGTTTGTTCTTATTCTAAGGGGGGTTATCATTCACAGAAGCCCAACATGCCTGAGCGAGCGCCAAAACCCAGCAAGGATACATGCGAGCCTAGTGCGGGGCTGGGCTCAGGCGCGGTGTGCTGGCATGGGTCAAGAACCGTGTCAGTCTCTTGACTGCTGTATTCAGCATGCAGCGGCTCAGTGGCTTCATCAAGTCAAGGTGGATCTGTAGAGTTGCCATTGCCGCTGCCATAGCTGCCATAGCCAGATGCAAGACATCCAGAGTTGCCATAGTCGCTACAATAGCCGCCATGGCCAGGTGGAAGACATCGACCGAGCGCTGCATTGGTGGCAGGTAGCGGGCTCGGTAGAGGGCTGGCTCGTAGAATGGAGGAAGGACAATGCTCAGATTCAGCCGGAGTGAGGAGCATCCCTCGTAAACTACGGCAGCAGTAAGCGAGGCATATCCATACGAGCTATACAATAGAGGAGCAGGATATATGTTAATGTAGATAGAGACGCTCAACTCAAAAGCACGCAACCGCCGTTTTGAACCCGAAAGCCAGCCCCGGTGTAGGGTGTAGGGCTTTGCTTTTTTGGGTTTAGGGTTGAAGGCGTTGGTTCTTTCGGGTTGGGGGTTGAAGGTGTTGCTTCTTTCAGTTTCGGTTTATTAAAAAATTAACAATACTTGTATACAGATATGTACATATATGTATATGTTTATAGTTATGTATGTACACATGTATGTATGTACGTGTCTGCATATGTAAAGAGTATATTTTATGTGTGTGTGTGTGTGTCTACACATATGTTGCATGTATACAAAATATTGGGAGTTATAGTACCACATCTATTACCGAGCACATCTTTCATATTGTATTTTATCTGTTATATATCATATGTCATATATTGAATATCACATAAGATCGAGTAGAGAATGTGCTATACCTAGTATATGGTTTATGATGTATGGTATATAATGTTTGTAGGGTCCAAGTAACTCGTTCATGGCGGCGGGGAGGTCATGCGCGATGCCGGCAAAGAGCCGGCCCAGGCAGCCAGTTGGAGGGGGGGGGGGTCTGTAATATAGGGTGCCTTTAAAGGGGCCTTGAATAAAGGGATACTCTAAGGGATTTAAAGAAAGGGTTCTATAATATAGGGGTCTTAAGAATTAGAATAGGGGGTCCTTTAAGTCCGCTAAAGGGCTTTATATAAGGGTTACTGTAAGGATCTGTAATTCTGGGGCCCAAATAAATAAGTTTTTGGGGCCTACTATACTTTAACTATAATATGGAACCCAAAAAACAGTATAGGTGATTATTTAGGCCCCTTTATTTTTCCTTGTTGTGGCCCTTAACCGTAAAACCCCAAACCCAAAACCCTAAACCCAAAACCTTAAACCCAAAACCCTAAACCCAAAACCTCAAACCCAAAACCTTGCTCACATGCAGGATGCAGGCGTCGCCCTGATCCAAGCCCTTGGCAGGCCAGCTGCATCACATCTTCTTGGGGGTCCATGGGACTTACTAAGTACAGTTACAAGTACCGGAACTGGGGCTATATCCAATTGTAAGTACAGTTACCTTATTCATAACCATAGTTACTAAGTCCCATGAGCCTTTAAGTTGGCGATGTTTGGCCCGAAGTCCCGCTTCTCCTAGGTTCCTGAGCAGCAATATAGGGGCCTTAACAATTCCCTATACTAGTTTAGGGGGTGCCTTGTTATAAGTATAGTATAATGGGCCCCCAAAATCGGGTTTTGGGGCCCATTATACTAATAAGGAACCCCCACAATAGTATAGGTAATTACTAAGGCCCCTATATTACCGTTTCGCCCTGTTCATTTTAGGGTCCCCTCCCCCAGTCTCTTTGTTTCTAGATGACGATCCATCAGCACGTCAGGGCTTGCTTGCGTTTACGTATCTAGGATGCCCAGTACTACCCTTATTTCCTTTTTGTAGTCCTAGGTTCCTTATCAAGTTACCCAATACCAAAAAGAGAGGCCTTTTTATTCTTAGGTTACTGGGTATCCTAGGTATGCTACAATCAGGCACTTGCCTTTTTACACCATTGCCAATGCAAGCTTGCTTTCTTTGCATGCGCATCCATGTCCACTGCGTTCACCTTCGCAACTCGCGCCCTTCACACTTTCATAGGGATCCTTAGGGGTGTAGGGGGAGGGGGGGTAGGGGGCCTTAAGGCCCATAATAAGGACTAATGAGGCCTATTTAAGGAAATATAGTCCCCTACACCCCTCCCCCCTACACCCCTAAGGATCCCTATGACACTTGGGAGTTTCCGAAAATTCGGGGTACCTAATTTTGGGGGTCCGTATGATAAGAATCCTACATTTTTAGGGTCCTACGATAGGAATCCTACTATTTAGGGTCCTATGATAAGAATCCTATTACTTAGGGTCCTATATTGGAGTCCCCTATTTTCGGAACCTCCCACTTGGTCGAAGCAACCCGATCTCCAAACTCTGAAGGATCCCGACGACAAGCCCAAACGCAAGTTCCTTATTGTAGTTAAAGTATATAGCAGGCCCCAGAACTTATTTGGGCCCCATAATTATAGATGCATTACAGTAACCCTTATAAAAACTCTTTAAAGTTCCTGTGGTCAGGCGTGGAAATTTGGCCGCTGCAGTCAGCATCCCAGTGTGTGCCAGCTATCCGAAAGAGATCGAAGAACACAGCTAAGAACCGAGGGTCGGAGGAGTGACGGACAGCCCTGATAGGAGGCCAACAGGGGTTTTAGCCTATGGGGGTCTAGCCGGGATTAGGGTTCCCATAATAGGGTTCATATTAAGGAATCCCTACCCCAAGAATCTTCAACCCCTCCCTTTGGCCTCCCATCAAGCTCGGAGCCCTATTCTAAGTATTAAGGTCCCTTTCCCCATGGTACTTATAAGTCCCGAAAATAACCAGTTACTAAGTCCCCCGACCCTCCAAGTAGGTCCCCATGATACCCGAGAAGTAGGGAAGGATCAGCCCTGGAAGCTGCTCCGAAGCTCCCAAACAGCGGCAAAAAAAGGTGGCCTGTGTCGGGAAGGCTCTAATTAATTAGGGTTTAGTTAGTTTTTAGTTCAGAAGGGGCTCCCACCCTGCAATAGTGGTATAATAGGAATATATTAGGGCCCTTATATAAAGCCCTTCTAATTATAGATCCCTTTAAGGGAACCCTACTCTAACAAATTAGGGTTTAGGGTTTAGGGTTAGACTGAACCCGAACATGGCTCTCAATATTCATAGGCCGCAGAATAGGTATTGCAAACTCTCTCTTAGTTAAGACTATTCGTTTACAGGGATCCGTAGCATGTTTCAGGCTAGGGCTTGGGAAACCATGCAATGGTAATTGCAGGATCGTAAGATTATCAATATCCTTAGTCGGGGCTTTAAGTAATTCTTTGCGTCATACATCACTGAGTGCAAGATCCTTTAAGTCTACGCTTTGAATCTTTTGTAGAGCCCTCACTTCAGGACCCTTGTTGAAGACCGCCACTTGACGGAACCCTGGAAAGTCCTTGTCGAACCATCGAGGCCCCTTTGATTGAAACATCCTAAGCCCTGACCAGGAAAGCGTGTTGAGCGACCTGTCCTTCTACATGCCCGGCTCCCAGCAGCGAAAGCCAGCAAGGGGATTGGGTTGGGGTTTAGAAGTTTGAAGTGGGTTCGGTTTATTCTGAGTCGAAAAGCCCTAAAGCCTAAAGTATTCTGAAAGCCCCAAAGCCTCAAAGCTTGAAGTATTCTGAGAGCAAGGAAGTTGCCAGACGACGGCCCCAACGAAACCCGACGCCCCAGCTGCTCGGGCGTCGCCAAGCATGTCTGGCCTTCTCGGAAATTCTCATCATGGCCCATGATACGAGGAAGCCCTACTTGGGGGTTCATGGGACTTAGTAAGTACAGTTATAAGTACCCTAACTGGGGTTATATCCAATTATAAGTATAGTTACCTCATTTATAACCATAGTTACCAAGTCCCATGAACCTTTAAGTAAGCCCCCAAGCCAAAGAACCGCTTTAGGGTAACAGATGATATCATGGTGTGGGATCATGCTCCCAACCCTAAACCCTAAAACCCTGAACCCTAAATCGATCATACTTGGCTTTATTTCATAGAGCATTCCGGGTCTGACTCTCTGCACCATAAGAAGGGAAGACAGCAGAGGGCCTGCCAGACCTTCTACTTAAAGCATCATGGGACTTAGTAAGTAGGGTTATAAGTAAAGTAAACAGAACTATAGTTACTTATAACCCCAATTAAGGTACTTATAACCCTACTTACTAAGTCCCATGATCCTCGAAGTAAGGACCCTAAACCCTCAGATAGAACAGAGCCCGTGAGTCCCCCGAGACCTGAAATGAACACCCACACACCCCTTCAAAAGCCCCAAAGCCCTGAAACCTCAAGTCAACACCCCTAAGGGTTTAGGGTTTAGGGGTTTAGGGCTTAGGGTTTAGGGGTTTAGGGTTTAGGGTTTAGGGTCTCATAAAACCCGCATCGAGGACCGTGAAGACCCAGCGACTTCAATATCCCTTGACTGGGGAATATGCCGTAAATCAAATTGGGGATCCTATCATATATTTTTGTATGTTCCTGACTTAAGGGGTCCCGAATATGAGTTGATAATATTCCTCAATTCAAGGATATACCTGAAACTTTCGTAAATTCCCTATTCAGAGGTATTGGAGTTTGCGAAAATAGGGGACCCTACTATAGTACCCCAAATAGTAGGATGCCTATTCTCAGGACCCCTAGACAAGGTACCCCTATGTTCGGAAACTCCCATATTGGAGTCTCTGGGATTATTAAGGCCCCTACACGACCAGCATATAGTACCCCAAATAGTAGTAACCCTCAACCCCATAGATCCCTAAAGGAACCCTTAAAGGATCCCTTTTCGGAAACTCAGAGACCTTGGAGTCTCTGCTTAAAGGATCATGGGACTTCGTAAGCAGGGTTATAAGTAAAGTAACTACAGTTATAGTTACTCATAACCCCAATTAAGGTACTTATAACCCTACTTACTAAGTCCCATGATCCTCGAAGTGGGGACCGTGACGATGCAAGGCCTTGGCAGTCCAACGCACCTTTGGTGCACGCTGCCCTCCGCGGCTGCGCCGAGGCTGCGGATGTGCAAGGACTCACGCGCCTCGGCCTGGAAAAGGGGGTTTATTGTTTAGGGTTCAGGGTTTAGGGTTCAGGGTTTGGGGTTTAGGGTTCAGGGTTTGGGGTTTAGGGTTTAGGGTTTCGGGTTCAGGCTTCGGGGGGGAAGGGTGAAGAACTCAGGGACCTTTAGCGCTTCGGTTCAAAGTCTTGGCTTAAGCCTTCAGGTTTCCAAAGTTGTTTAGGTTTTCCGTAAACCCCAAAAAGTTGGAAACCCTATTAAGGGTTTAGGGTTTAGGTTTTAGGGGTTTAGGGGTTTAAGGACAATTAGTGCTGGGATTGCTTATAGATTACTCTTAAGGTTTGATGCTAATGAGTTTCCAACTTTTGGGCTTCTACTGTACGGGTTCTGTCGGCTGTGTGGGTTTAGGGTGAAAGCTAGGATGCCCAGTAGTACCCTTACTCCCTTTCTGTAGTCCTAGGTTCCCTGTACAGTTACTCAATGCCAAAAAGGCAGCCCTTTTTGTTCCTAGGTTACTGGGCATCCTAGTGTAAGGCTTCAGGGACCTGGGGTTTATGGTTCAAGCTTCGTCCATGCGTTGGGTTCTGTTGGGAGGTTTCGGGTGCAGGAGGAATGATACGGCTGATGGACAAAATCCTGCGTGACCCTAAGGACTCTAAACTATGGGAACTATGGTATATTCCGTATAGTGGGTAATGCAGGATTTTGTCCATCAACAGTATGGAAGGCCTATCCAGCACAATATAAGGGCCCGAAGACTTAGTTCCAGCTTTCCTCGGCTTTTTCGAATAGTGTTGCAGTATAGGAGATCTCAAAACTCCAGTCTAATTTTGCAGGCTGCCATGTCAGGGTTGAATTGTCCTTCTGGGTATTAGCAGGATCTTACTAGCTGCGTGGATACACTTTACACTTTTGGGTATTACCCATAATAAAAACTGAAAGTATACACTTTTTGGGGCCTATGAACTCAGCAACTAAGGGATTCTGCACTGGCTTATTCATGGTTCCGTCTTTGCTTCTGTGGGCCCAGGGATTTCCAGGGAGTCCCTTCACTAAGATCTGACATGGAGGCCGCACTACTTGCCAAAAGTAATATGGCTTCAAAAATTACCTATACTACTTTGGGGGGGGTTCCTTTTTATGGTTGTAGTATAATGGGCCCCAAAACCCTTTCTAATTATTAAGGCCGCTATATTGTTCCTTCCGGTTCCTTATTATACTTACATTGTACGATACTTCAAAGCCCTGTTGTAAGTATAAAAGCCCCTATCTTACCAATGTTGCGTTTGCAAAGGTTGCTTGCGGCCGTGATTTACGTGAAATTTCATAACACGGCAAGAGCTTCGCTTCTTAAGGGTCTCTAGCACCGGCTCCATTGTGCAAGGATTTGTGGGGTGTGTGGGGTCCTCAGGGTTTTTGTAGAGGTTTGGGGCTTAGGGTTTCGCAGCCTTTACATGCAAGGATTACTCGTATAGTCTTCGCTGTTCTGGTTCCTGTGTTTGGCTCACCATTATTGAGTCCAGGAAGATGCTTTGGCTAAGAAGCCCCTGTCGGAAGACAGAAGCCCTGGGGCCCAGAAGGCAACGTTTGGTATCAATTCGCCCAGGCGTTGGCTGCAGCTGATGTCAGAACATGGCCGGGATCCGGATGGCTTGCAACTCAGACTCTGCGAGACGGTTGGGTCGCAATCAACGATGTTTCAAAAGCTCTGCTGGTAAGTTTTAAGCACAGATCTTGCTAGCATGCTGCATGCCCATACATCGCGACCTGTCGTTCGAAATACCAGACGCATGCTCTCGTGCAGGATCTTTAGACTTGCGGCCTTAAATGAAACAGATGATGGGATAGGCCAACCTTTCGAATGGTTTGTCTATGTTCTTGAGCCTCTGTTGTATCACGGCCTGAACACGTGGTTTTTGTTGTTCTCTTCTAATCCGCATACAGCTATACTTTAATGCACCACAAGCTTGTTTCATGTTTTAGGGCCCCTATGCTTACTATGTACCGTTGTATCCCAACCAATCATCATTTGACCAGGCTTCTCGTATTTGGCTATACTCGAGGGCTTCGCCAAAGTTCACCGTTCTGCTGGGCCCTCAATGCAGAAAAATGCGCAATGCTCCGTTCACCGTTCTCCATTGGAGTGTAACCCCAAGGTTCATGAAATCTCACCCGTGAAGCCTGCAAAAATCGACTGGCGAGCACCGGAAAGGTGTGCTGCAAACCCCCACGTGTCGCCACAGGTGGCGGTGCAAAGCTGAGCAAGGCAAAATCCGCGCTCTAACGAAACATGAAGAGACTGCAAAACATTGAGCTCAGCATGGCCAAGGACTTGGCGCAGAGCTGGTGGGACTCGATGATTGGAAGGGGCATTGAACCCCAAGGTGCCGCGGCGTGATCTCGGGCTCCGGGTGTAAGCATGCGTCGGTGGCGTTCGGACTAGGGACAAGCATGGTTGAGGCCTGTAAAACATGTTTTCATAGCTCTATTCGAGTTTTCCACTTTTCAAGGCTTTAAGTGCATTCTCGGGTTCGGGGGGTTCAGGGCTCGGCGACGCGGGCAGAAGCAGGTGCAAGCCGAGGAAACACGGAGCATGCATTTCGATCCGACGACACATGTCCCAAAAAGGATAAGATCACGTAATTCGATCTTGAAAGCAAATTTGTTGTGCTCCCTAAACCCTAAACCCCATCACTGTTCGGCTGGCCAGGTGGGCACTACGATGCGATGATGAACGTGCGGATCACAGCTTTCTTCATCCTTCGGGGCCCTGAAACCCTACTAGGAGGATCATGGGACTTAGTAAGTAGGGTTTAGGGCTCCTTTTAAGGGTAGTATAGGGTTCTTTCACAGAACTATAAGGGTTCTAGAAGGAGGATCATGGGACTTAGTAAGTAGGGTTATAAGTACCCTAATTGGGGTTATAAGTAATAATTATAACTGCAGTTACTTTGCTTATAACCCTACTTACTAAGTCCCATGATCCTCTAAGTACAACCCAAGACGCCGAACTCAGCCCCTAAACCGAAACACCCCGAACCCCTCAACCCGCAAATCAGTCAGAGGCACTCCAGACCCCTACACCCAAGCAAGACACTGAAGCCCTCGACGTTTTAGCATTTCTTGGAAGGGCTCATTCAGGTTAAGAGTTCAATTTTTTGAGTTTAAGAATGTCTCAAGGATAATTCCAACGAAATCCTCGTCCCTTTCTTCAGGCTTCTGCTTTACAATGAAGAACACATCCGCATCGTATTTCAAAGCAGCATTCTCATGACTATACTATCCTTGGGAATCAGATTCTATGTTTCTCATTCAAAACCTAAGAGAATCATTGAAAATAACATTTCAGTATCTATTATGGTTCTAAGGCGGGTATAGATGATCCTGATGGCAAGCGCCTGGTAGGTACCCGTCATGGGTGTAGTAACCCCACACCCTGGAGCATGTTTGCTTCTCCACTGCCTTGGGTATACAGAGTAGCCCACTATCAGCCTTCGTAGTAACCGCATGTTGGCGTCCATTTGGGAGCTTTGTTTCAATCATCCTGTGATGGTTTACGGTTTGTTCTACAGGGGCCTTAATAATTACCCATACTATTGTAGGGGTTCCTTGTTACAGTTATAGTATAATACACTCCAAAGCCCTATTCTAATTATTAAGGCCCCCATATTACTGCGGTCCCCGAGTTTCTGAAGTTCCCAAGTGGCGTCTGACCGCCCGAGCTCCAAAGGAGCCTTGACCGCCCGATGCCATCACAAGCCGATAAGATCCTAAACCCCATTCTGAATGTGGGAGTTTCCGAAAAGAGGGGACCCTAATATAGTACCCTAAATAGTAGGATCCTTATTATAAGGACCCCTAAATAAGGTACCCTTAATGTTCGGAAACTCCCAAATATTAAGGCCCCTTACCCTTATCTAATGTAGGAACCTGATCAGGGTTCCCTATATGAATCCTACTACTTTTGGGGTTATAGGCCCAGGGTTTCTTAATCAGGTTCCTGCATTATCTTGTACCCCTGAGCCAGAAATCCCAAGCGAATGCCTTGAACCTTAAACCCCCAAATTTACAAGTCGAAATTTTAAACCTATATACACCTAAACCCCCAAACCCACCAAACCTAAAACCTAACACCCCCGAACTTAACTCTATGCCCTTATCAGAAAGTCCATTGCCCCTTACAAACACAAACTTGGCCAAGGCCCTAAAGCATATAGTATATATAGTATATAATAATTACCTTCTACTTGGAGGGTCGGGGGACTTAGTAAGTAGGTAGTAAGTAGACTTATAAGTACCCTAAAAGGGACCCTCATTGGGGTTATGGTACTTATAAGTTCCTAAAATAACCAGTTACTAAGTCCCCCGACCCTCCAAGTATGGCATCCAGAGCCTCCAAAACCCCTTAATTAAGGAATATACCTTGAAATCATATTAGGGATCCTATTATAATTTAAAATATATCCTAGTAATAATTACCTTCTAAAGCCCCAAACCCATAAACCCCTGAACCCCAAGGCCCCTAAACGTGACCAAGGCCCAAAAGCCTGACGGCTTCCGGCCGGCGCAGTCGTGGTCAGCGCGCTGTGTTTGCTTAGCCCCAAAAACAGCTTATAGGGTTTAGGGTTTAGGGTTTTATGGTTTGAGATACATTTCTGAACTGAAGAATGTGATGACCTTAATGTTTGGGGCCTTCTTCTCATGTTCAACGTACATTCATTTTCGGTCTAGGGCAGGGCTTCCCTGTGTTTTGTGAGGTTTTACAGGAGATGTTGTGTTATTTTCCAGGTTGTGCAGATGCTTGGGGTTACGAACCTAAAGGCTCCATGTACCTTCATAGTAGTAGATACTTAAGCCTTAAAGGGGTCCCTATATAGGTGCTTGAAGGCCTAAGTATGTATGATATGGGTACAGGGAGCCTTTGGGGAAGGGGGGGTCGGGCTCAGGGCTTCGGAGTGTTTCCTCCGGGGTGCGCATCTCCAGAAGAGCATCAATCCTAGGATGCCCAGCAATACCCTTATTCCCTTTCTGTAACCCAAAACCCTACCCCTATTATAAAGGAGCTGTTCAGGAGCTCATATAGTTTCCGACCTTAATCTAGGATGCCCAGTAGTACCCTTATTCCCTTTTTGTAGTCCTAGGTTCCCTATAAAGTTACCCAATACCAAGGAGGGAGCCCTTTTTATTCCTAGCTTACTGGGCATCCTGGAATTAGAGCATGACGGCAGGTTTCTCCGCATGGCAGATGCGGGAGTCGTGCCTCAGGCGGGCCTGTGACCAGCAACCAAAGGGTTTGGGTTTGGGGTTTAGGGTGTAGGGTTTAGGGTTTAGGGTGTAGGGTTTAGGGGTGCCACGACGAGACGCATGTTTGAGAAACCGAAGCCCGAAACGAAAACCGCTTCGCTCTACTGCCTACGAGCCCTGAACTCTAAGCTCTTGCCTCTAATCCCGCGGCATAAACTGCTCTCGGCCCTTGGCAGGTCAGAAGCTACTCTGCCGTCATTGAGCGCGCGCCTTCCGAAAGCACCTCGGCAACACGGTCGGTTTGCAACTGGTTTTGCATACACGGTGATTTAACTTTGCGATTTAGGGCAGAGACTCGTCTGCCGGATGCACGTTGCGGAAGCCAAGTGCGGTCACAGGGTGACTTTTTGTAAGATACGGGCTTGGATACTATTCCGAATTCCTTCGGGTCCTTGCTAGAAGAATACTACAGCAACAGGCCCTTCAGTGGTCGGAGCAGAACTAGAAGTATGGACCTTGTGCCTTGAACTTGGATTCACCCTTCTTGTCTGAAACTCCTAGACCCTCATCCTCAAGCCTTTAGGACTTTTGAAGTGTTGAAGTTCGGCTTAAGGGATCCATATGCGTTCCATGTAGGGTTTAGGGGTTAAGGAATGTAACTTAAGTTACCCGAAGTAAGGGTTCTCTCTGAAGCTCAGGCGTCGCGCTTTCATGGTTCAACAAAATGGTGAGACACGGCTATGTGCAAGGGCCTCAGACATGCGAACTGTGGAGGCCTTAACAACTAGGATGCCCAGTAGTACCCTTATTCCCTTTTTGTAGTCCTAGGTTCCTTATAAAGTTACCCAATACCGAAAAGAGAGGCCTTTTTATTCTTAGGTTACTGGGTATCCTAGACAAGGACCTGGGGCATACTGAAGCACAGTTGCATGCTGATGATAAGTAGAGGGTACTTGGAGGATCATGGGACTCAGTAAGTAGGGTTATAAGTACCTTAATTGGGGTTATATGCAATTATAACTGTACTTACTGTACTTATAACCCTACTTACTAAGTCCCATGATCCTCTAAGTATCCTTCCATGACTAGAAGTGCTGACTTTTGACTGACTACTCGCATGCTCAAAAGGGGTGGTTGTCAAAATTATGGTCACGGCACATAATATTTAGGGTTCCAAAAAAGGGGTCCTAATTTTGACAACTACCCATATGGAAGCCTAATTTGTTATACTATAGTATAGTATGCTCCTAAGAACCATTCTAAGTACTGTATCGTACTACTCAGGCAAGTGAGAATCCTTAGTCCCATTGAGCAAAACTCAGATGAAGCAGGCAGTTGAAACCCGGAGACCAACGAAAGAGCCCACAAACGCTTGAAGATGCTATCCCTTCAAGGCCGTAAGTTTCAATAACTCAGGTTCATGGATACTGGTAGCAACCCTTAAGTCGTACAGCAACCCTTAATGGTAACCCTCTTGAAACTCAGGCCGGACATGGAAGCTTGCAAGAGCATGCTTCTGGCCCGGCACTTGGATGTGCAGCGTTAACCAAACCAGGGCTACTTTAAGGATCACGATTAGGCTACCATGTAATCGTACCGATAAGGGGTTACTATAAGGGTTACTCTAAGCGTTAGTATCAAGGCTACTAAAAGGGTGATTTATGTCAGAGGCATGACTCGACCTGCGATGTCGACCATGATACCCTAAACCTTCAATCCACGTGACCTGACATAGATGCTTGGAGGATCATGGGACTTAGTAAGTAGGGCTTTAAGTACCTCAATAATTATAACTGTAGTTACCTTACTTACAACCCTACTTACTAAGTCCCATGATCCTCTTTCTAGAACCCTTATAGATCCCTTTAAGAAACCCTAGTATAGAACCGTATAGTACCCTTAAAAGGAGCCCTAAACCCTACTTACTAAGTCCCATGATCCTTCAAGTAGACCCTAAACCCTAAACCCTATAGATCCCTTTAAAGGAGCCCTTTAAGGAACCCTTACTAAGTCCGTATAGATCCTTGAAGTGCCGGGCATGGGAAAGCGCAAGAACGGCCCGCCCAGGCCATTTCGCGATGTGCCACGGAATCGAGAGCTGCGGGACTCTGAGCTTTAGCCGTAGCCTTTGAATTTGGGGTTTAGGGTTTAGGGGTTTAGGGTTTGGGGTTTAGGGTTTACGGGTTGTAGCACCCGGGTTTAGGGTTTAGGGTTTTGAATTTGGGGGTTCTACACCCGGGGGTTTGGGTTTGGGGGGGGTTGGGAGTGGTCTTATGGAAAAGGGCTTGACGCTTAGAAGGAGCTCTGCTTAACTCTCCAAGCATGTCACACAGACGGAAGGTTGTATTATATTCCATTTCATCAACTTGTCAGGTGCACGGCGGCGCGAAAAGGGTGGATTTCGACCCTGAACCTTGACCCACCCCGGACAAAGGTAGGCACAGGACATACGAAGCTTGGGACGAGATTTTGAGTTCCGCCGTGCATGTGCTAGCACTCTGTATCTCTTGAGAAGTCAGCAGGGGCTGTTCGTATATAGCCCGGCGGTCATCGGATAATGCCTAAACGTACCTTTGCTTAGTAGGGAAGGGAAGAATGGTAGTAGTAGTAGTAGTAGTAGTAGTAGTAGTAGTAGTAGTAGTAGTAGTAGTAGTAGTAGTTAAAGTTGTACCCCATTCCTCCATTCCCTACTAACCAAAGGTAAGTATAGTAAGTATAGCATAACTCTTATAGGGACCCTTATAGTAACCCTTAAAGGAACCCGATTCCTCCATTCCCTACTAACCAAAGGTATGTATAGTATACCCCTTATAGGAACCCTTAAAGGAACCCCATTCCTCCATTCCCTACTAACCAAAGGTAAGTATAGTATAACCCTTATACTAACCCTTAAAGGAACCCCATTCCTCCATTCCCTACTAACCAAAGGTGAAGTAACCCTTAAAGGAACCCCATTCCTCCATTCCCTACGAACCAAAGGTAAGTATAGTATAACCCTTATAGGAACTCTTATAGTAACCCTTAAAGGAACCCTATCCCTCCATTCCCTACTACTTAGATAACTGGGGTTATAAGTCCCCTAAGTGGGGTTATCCTAATTATAACTTACTTGTAGCCTTACTTACTAAGTCCCATGAGCCTTCAAGTAACCAAAGGTAAGATCATGCCAGAGCCCCTCAGGTAGAGTGGCTGCGGACGATGGAGTTGGATTTCAACTGCCAGCCCGATCTTGCAGCGTACCAAGGTCCCCCAGGGGCCCAAGACCTCTTTTTGAACATACCTTAACCGAGATTCAGGATGTCCTTATAATATACATCTACATATATATATATATATATATACGTATATATATATATATATATATATATATGTGTGTGTGTGCATATTTAATCGCTTATACATATATACGTACAGCTCAAGCTATCCCTGAATATAGTTTAAGGTATCCTCCTTATAGTTTAAGGTATCCTCTGCAATTCAGCGCTCTTCTTGGCACTGTGGTTCATGCTTCAGGTCTATGCAGAGCACAGAGTTGGAGCCGCGGATCTTTCCAAAGCATTAGCCTAGGTTCCTGAGCAGTGCCCTAGGCTTCCTTAAAAGAGTTCTTTAAGGGATCCTTAAAAGGGCTCTACAAGGGATCCTTAAAGGGTTCTATAAGGGACCTATAGGGGTTTAGGGTCTACTAGGTTCCTGAGTAGTACCCTTTTGCCCTCTTCCCCTCTTCATTCTAGGTCCCTTATAAAGCCGAATAGTAGGAAGAAGGATACCCTTACTGTAAAGCGGCTACTCCGGAACCCGGAACCGAGTAGCAGATCAGAGACTCAAAAGCATTCTAGGGCTTGGGGGTTAGGGTCAGAAACTGGCCTTAATGATTCGATTGGGGTCATTGCTAAGAAGCAATCATCTTTGCTCTTGTCATACTTAGGCCTGCTACAATATCGTCCTCAATGCCGGGGCCGGTTCCTGAGTCTCAAGAGCACGTGACATGGAGCAGAAAGATGAACGTTAGATGTGCATGCATTGGGTACGGTCCCCACTCGGTACTAGTTGAATATAGATATATTAGGACCTTAATAGTAGCCCTATCATGGACTCTTGCTGTATGGCCGCAGTACCTAATGCAGTTTCTCACCCCCCAGCAACCATCAGCACGACCTGCTTGTGGAAGAGTGGTCCGTCACTCGGCTACCTTCTGAGAGCCCACTTGTTTGAAGGTTTCTTGGATAATTTGCACCACTGTTTGCAAAACTCGTTTCTTTGAGGGCCTGGGGTGCTAATATTGGAATCCCTACTGTCCCCTGTTAAGGTACAGGGGCATCGTGCTATCTGCGTTGCACCAAACACCGTCCAGATTCTATGCACCACATGTGGCATGGCCTTTCAAATGGCAATTGTAGTACAGAGCAACACCCTAGACGCCAAACCCCTCAACCCTAAGTGATGCTGAAAACCTCCGAGAATTTCAAGATAGCCATTTTTTCATCTCAAGCCCTAAAACCTGAAACCTGCAGCCTGCCATTCTGAAACCCTGTCTCAAAGAAAAAGTAAGTGTAGTCACATTGATACTGACGCTAAGATCGCAATAGCCATCGCAACAACAATAATAGCTACGAGACCCCCAACCCCAGCCTCAGCCAATTAACCCTAAAAGCAAAAAATATGTAGCCCAAGAGCTTGTCAACCCCCCTAAACACCCTGGCCTTCAATTTCAGGCACGAGCCCAGGGCTCGCGCTTCGAGCCGGAGGTGCTTCTCCGGGAGATGAGTCAACGACGGATCCGGTTCGGCGCTGAGTCGGGAGGCGTGCTTTACAGGATCCCCTCATGGGTTCCGAAGTGGAGAGGCTTCCATAACCTAGTAGTCGAGTAGGCAACCTTTCACCTTTTTTGGGTAGCATAGTCCCTATATAAACCATATATAGCCAAAAAGGTTAACCTTTAGTTCCCCATGATACCCGACAAGTAGGATAAGGGATACTTATTGGCCTAAACCCAAAAAGGTTTAAATAATGGGGCTACGATTAAGGTCCTAATATAGTATACTATAATATACTATAATATAATATACTATACTATAAATATAATACAATAACTATAGTACAGGATCACACAAGCATGAAAGAGAGGTTAGTCGCGGGGTTCGGATTTAGTTTCGGCTGCAGGGTTTAGGGTTTGGGCTTGAGAGTTTAGGCTTTAGGGTTTTGGGCTTAGGCTGTTTGCGTGTGAATTTTATAGGGTTCCGTAAGGGTTTTGTATGCGGGTTTTACTATGATACGCCCCAAACCCACCTTGTTCGGATGATTAAGGCCCCTATGTCAGGTGCGGTTTGTGCTCTTGGGGGTTCATTTGTGCTGTAGAGCTTTGAAGGGGCCCCCACCCTGTAATAGTGGTATAATAGCTTTATTTTTAGGGCCCTACTATTATCCTTATAGTCACCATTACAGGGTGGGGGCAGCTTCTAATGTATAGCGGGGGTGTGTGTTTTGGGGGAGAGTCCTCCAGGAGCCTATTGTGGTTTCAGGGTTTAGGCTTAGGGTTTGCTTAGGGTTTAGGCCTACAAGGGCATGTTCGAAGCAAGCATGTGTAGTTACTCTAGATCCTTTCCTGTGTGTTTCCTTTAATCCTTTCTCCAATTGTTGCCATGATGAGAAAGGCGAAATGTTTACTACAGATCCCGATTACGGCAGATTCATCACGAAGTACTATATAGGGGCCTTATTTTGGGTGCTCCTCATTATAAGTATAGTCTAGAGGGCCTTACAACCCCATTCTGATTATTAAAGCCCCTGCATTACCCCCAAACCCCAACACCCCCAAACTCAAAAAACCCTGAACCACCTGCGCGGTTATTAGAGGCTTACAGGAAGGTTACTATAAGGCTGCGATCATAATGACAACAGTAATAGCTTAGAGGCTGCCCCCACCCTGTAATAGTGGTATAATAGGAATACAATAAGGCCCTAATATAATCCTATATAATCCTTATAGTCACTATTTCAGGGTCGGGGCAGCTTCTAAGTACTAACAATCATAATGCCAACGAGGAAAATGCACTAATGATAACCGGTATAAACGCTTTAATGAAATAAGAGTACAACAATAACATCTACAAGCTAGTGTAATAATGTTCTCAGTGAGAGGCCGGACGCGTTCACCTTCAACACCTTGCTCTCAAGCGCAGCGAGGCACTTCCGCCCTGCGAAGAGGGCTCATCATGTGGAGTATCATTGACTTCGCTAAGGCCTTTTTACGTGTTTTGTCCAAGGGTTCCTGTAGAACACTTATAGAAGAAGTCTATGAAGGATCTAAAGCGGGGTCTACAGGGGCGTCAGGGCTTAGGGGATTTAATTAGCACAGGTTTAAGTACCTTAAGCTGGAATATGATATAACTGGTTATAACCATAATTACTCTTGTTTGCATATATATATATATATACATATATACATATATACCCTTAATTGCCATGTCCCATGGTCTTTTAGGTATCTCTCAATGAAAACCATTGAATATATGACGCTTCTATGAGAGCTCATACAGGCCTGGCAGGGTTCCATAAGGGCAGGCTCGGAATATTTCTTCATCAAGCAATGTGGGGTTCCATGGGGATCTGCAAGGGTGCTATGAGGCTAAACAGGCTTGGTAAGACCACACGGTGATGTACCCTAACTCGGGTTATCTCAAATTACTATAAGTATAAAGTTACCTTGTTTATCACCATAGTTACTGAGCCCCATGAGCCTTTAAGTACGGTTAAGGAATCCATCCGAAATTACGGAGGGCATCCCATAACTGAGGAGTCTTGGGCTCTTTGCTTTGACTGATGTATGAGCTTCCAACATAGGTTCCCAAAGCCCTACACCTAGGATGCCCAGTAGTACCCTTATTCCCTTTTTGTAGTCCTAGGTTCCTTATAAAGTTACCCAATACCAAAAAGAGAGGCCTTTTTATTCTTAGGTTACTGGGTATCCTAGACACTAGCGCCCTAGTAGTAGAGTAAGCAACCTTTAACTTTTTTTGGTAGTAAAGTCCCTATATACTTCCTATATAACCGTTGGCCTTTAGTTCCCCATGACACCCGACAAGTAGGACGGCTTCTGGTACTGTGCAACTAAGTGGGTAATGTAGACAGCTCCGGACGGAAGTATTCCCCAAGCAGCATGCAAAGGCTAGACGGTTCCTACTACGTCAGATGTCAAGAGAATGTTACTCTAGGGGCCTTGATAATCACCTATTCTAGTTCGGGGGTTCCTTAGTATAATCATCATACCCCAAAACCCTATTCTAATGATTAAGGCTCCTATAGTACCATGAGGCGTTCACTGTCACTGTGAAATCCGACCCTGGAAGAATATGGGAGTTTCCGAAAGTAGGGGACCCTAATATAGTACCGTAAATCGTAGGATCCTTATTGTAAGCACCCCAAAATAAGGTGCCCCGAATTTTCGGAAACTCGCATATGAGTTGATATGGTTTTATAAGGCTGTAGGTTGTGACAGGAAATGCACTGGTTCCTTTCAGGGCTCGTGGCATGAGCCTTGTGGTGATCTAGAGCTGTGAACCCGTCTAGGATGCCCAGTAGTACCCTTATTCCCTTTTTGTAGTCCTAGGTTCCTGATAAAGTTACCCAATACCACAAAGAGAGGCCTTTATATTCTTAGGTTACTGGGTATCCTAGCCGTTGTTTGTCAATCAAGGTCTTACGTGCCTTTGCAGAGCCCGATGCATCCCCTAGCGAACCTTACAGATTCCCTTCGAAAACGGCAATACTCCAGCTGTGGAATAGTACGCCCTGCAATGTCGAAGCCTGGCCTGAACATCCTGAGAGAAGCAAATGAGGTCACAAAATGAGAGGACCACGAATAATGGAGGGGACGATCCTGAATATGAAAAGCCTCTACTATGGTCCTAAAGGGCCCATCACTAATGGACCTGTGGAAGTTTCTACTTTGGGATCCGCAAGCTAGATCTCAAGACTTCTCCGCTTATATTCAGAAGCGGCTTCTGTGGGGTGCCTGCATGTCAGGACTGGCAACGACGAAGGCAAGATCTTCTGTCATCGAAGGGTAAAAGGAGGGACCCTTGATAAGGACCCCTAGGTATATACCCTTAATATAGCTATTATATACCCATTGTATGGCCCCATTATAGGGTAGGGGTCCCCATTAAGGGTCCCTCCTTTTCCCCTTTGATGTTAGGGGTAGTTGTCTGTCGCATTCTTCGAGGGTCTGGAGGTGAACGAGCAGTAGTGGGTGATCCGTGTGATTGTGGAAGCAAGCCGAACACAGCCTGCCAGCTCTTGCGTCGCACGGTTGGACTTGCTGCTTGCGTTTATTCCTCCGCGGCTTTCACAGCTCGGCTTTCGTTGAAGGCCTCTATCCAAGGGTAAAGGGAGGGACCCTTAATAAGGACCCCTAGGTATATACCCTTTATATAGCTATTATATACCCATCATATAGCCCCATTATAGGGTAGGGGTCCCCATTAAGGGTCCCCCGTTTTCCCCTTTGACTCTACTTGCGTCTCAGCCATGGAAGACGGCCGGCCGGGGCCCGGCTCTGTGCCGGCAGCTGCCGTCGCCAGGAGCCTTGACAAAGAGAAAGAAGCTAGGTTGGATTTTGGGACATTTTTTATTTTCCATATTTGGGCTTACCCTATATATATATATATATATATATATTTTTTGTTTTTTTTCTCTCTTGCTTATTTGGGCTCATAAGGGACCCTATATGTATACATTTGTTCGGGTTGTTTAAAGGCCAACCCAGGAAGGTCTTGGCGACCTTCCGAGCCTTGCGGAAGAAGCCCTGGGCTACTTGGCTAAAGAGTACATCAGGGTTTAGGGCTCCTTTTAAGGGTACCAAAGGGTTCTATACTAGGGTTCCTTAAAGGGATCTATAAGGGTTCTAGAAAGAGGATTATGGGACTTAGTAAGTAGGGTTATAAGTAAAGTAACTACAGTTATAGTTACTCATAACCCCAATTAAGGTACTTATAACCCTACTTACTAAGTCCCATGATCCTCCAAGTACCCCCCGGTTCTCAGTGAAAGTTACCGACTCCCTGGTCTTTCTGAAGCCCGAATGAACCCGTAAGGCCCTCTGGGACAGAGTCATGGGGACCCTCCAGGGGGGTTAGGGGGAGGGGGGTAGGGGACTATACTTCCTTAAAATAGGCCTTATTAAGTCCCTCTTATGGGCATTAAGGCCCCCTACCCCCCTCTCCACCTACCCCCCTCAGGGTCCTTAGGATAGAGCTCAGGGTAGCTTTCAGCTTCTTAAGGAGTTTTCCGTGTGTTACACGTGATGCCACAGCTATGCGCTCTCATAGCATACAAGCTCCCCGCTCTTACCAGCTGTTGGAAGCATGGTCCACAACAAGAAATTGAAACCCTTATCATAAACCCTCAACCCTAACGAAAGGAGAGCATGCAGAAGGCGCTTCGGCGGCACAGCAGGCGCCGCTACCCCAAAATCTAAACAGTTTGGGGTTCACCTGCACCCTAACCGGAACCAGAAGAAACCAATTCTTTTTGACGACTTGTATAAGGCAACCATCAAACGGAAACCCGACAGGGTAGGTTTTTTGGGGGTTCAGGTAGACCTTAGACACCACAACCCTAAACCTTGTTGCTTCTGGGAGCTGTAGGCTAAACATCTGCACATTTCATAAATCAACTTATCTTTTTTGGGGACCTCAAAAGGGACCATAATTTTGACAGCCACCCATATTGGCACGAGAATAGCCCCCCAAGCCCTGCTCCAATAGTTAGCGCCTGAGTTCTGCCTGCCGGCTTCGGGGTCGAGGGCTTCGTTCGGCTCTGTCCACAACATGGGAGTTTCCGAAAATTAGGGGTAGCTTATTTGGGGGTCCTTATGATAAGGATCCTACTATTTAAGGTACTATATCGGGGTCCCCCATTTCCGGAAACTCCCACGTAGGTGCACAAAAATAAGAAGTTTCCACCGTAAGGCTAGTCAAAGCATGAGGCACCTGGCTTTGTGGCACAGTGAGGACCAGCAAGATGTGTCCCAGGAACAGCAAGATGTGTCCTAGTGTACTGAGGACTCGATGAGTGTTAAACGGAGGCCGAAACGAACTACTGCAAGCATCAGAAAGCACGTTGCAGGAAGTTGTGAAATATCACCTGACGATGGTGGATGGCAGCGTCTCTCGATGAGCAGTCGCAATATCACACCCTCCTGCTTTCCCCCTAGAGCAGCTAGCGGCACCAATAGCAGTAGCACCAGCAGGAGCAGAAGTAGTAGTCATGAGTAATCGTCGTCTTCGTCGTCTAGACTTGCCGCAGTCATAGTAGTCGTTGCTGTTGTTGTCGTCGTCGAACTATAGACTACTGCTGCCACTACTACTACTCCTCCTCCTCCTCCTGCTCCTCCTCCAGCTGCTGGTAGTACTACTGACAAGGCCAGTAATCGTACTAAGGGAGGGGTGCTCCTTCATGCATGCTCTCACGATCCTCTTTCAGGGCATGCTGTACAAGCTCCGTAAGGGCCGACCACGCTAGACGTTTTGGGATTTAAAGGGTTCGGGCTTGAGGGTTTTGGGTCTAACAAGTTTCGGAAGTAGGGCGTCCACGTCTGTCTTAGCTGCGGTGGACGGTGGAGCCTTGTGGCTTTTTTGCGGCCTCAGAGATCAAACTTAGGGTACTACAGGGAATTATTGGTGATACGATTCCCTCAGAGTCTCTGTTTCATGTTACTGCATGGGAACTTCAAGCCACAGGTTGACAATCTCTTGACTCTTGAAGCCATAGAAGCTATCGCAGAATTCTGCCTGTCGTCCTTCACAAACCTTGTGCCAAACCCTCGTTACTCCAGCAAGGACTGGGCGAGTGTCATATTTAGCGCTCTGTGTCGTGGGTCTCCCAGAACTCTCAACCTTCACCTTAAACCCGAAACCCAAACTCGAAAAAATCATGCTAAGCCCAAAACCCTACACCTTAAACCCTAAACCCACCGGGCAGAAGGAAAAGAGGGTTCAAAAAAAAAACCTAAACCCAAACTCGCAACTCGTGCTTAACCCCAAAACCCTACCACCCGAGGAGGCAGAGCTGCCTCTGAGCCAAGCCGCCTCCGTCTTCGACGCCTGTCTTGCTGCGGCCGAATCTAGGGGTATGACAGCCGGCCGGCTAAGGCGAGGGTTTAGGGTTTGGGGGGTGGCAGTTTCCGAGAATTAGGGGTGCCGTTTTTTTTTGGGGGGGGGAGGGGGGGGGGGTCCTTATAATCCTACTATTTAGTGTACTGTATTAGGGTACCCCCTATTTTCGGAAACTACCGGGTTTCAGGGTTGTCGGGTGTTTAGGGTTTCGGGCTTTGGGGTTTGGGGTTTGGGATATTGGGTTTAGGGTTTTAGGTTGTGGGTCTTTGTTATCGTATCTACCGGCCAGAATTTTGCGAAACTCCCTCGTGACAAATACCCATGCAGTACTTTGCAATACAATGATGCTTGTTTACCATGACCGTCCCTTTCATAGTCAATCCCGTTCTAGTGTTTGCTCTACGGAAGATGTTGCCACTAGTGTGCATCTTGTGTTGTGTCATGATATGGTTCTAAGTTCCAGAACACTTAAAGGTTCATGGGACTTAGTAACTATGGTTCTGGATAAGGTAATTATACTTATAGTTGGATAAAACCCCATTTAGGGTACTTATAACTATACTTACTAAGTCCCACGAACCCCCAAGCATATCGCAGTACTCATTCCTGGTTTGCGCTTGAGTACGGGTCAGAATACAGCTGTCCCGCTACAGTTACTATCATCTGTATACAAGTCTGGACCACAACACCCGTTGACGATTCGCTCAAAGACTAGCTGAACGTTCGATGGATACACAAGTCGTTTGAAGCCTGTGTCAACGCAGACTCGTCCGTAATCTCCACAACACCCTGTTCTAATCAAATATGATCCTGCACCCTGATCCCTGAAGCCTAAACCCTTCTTAGTGTTTTGCTTAGGGCTCCTGGCAGCAAGCTCCATACGGTAAATAACGATAAGGATCCCCTACAGCTTCGGGGAGACATGTTGAATCAGCATCATGCCTTTAATTAAGGAGTCCCTTCAGCATCTCCCCATAGGTAAAGGCACATTCCTTCTCAAGGGCCTAGTAGTAGAGTAGGCAACCTTTAACTTTTTTGGGCCCATGATACCCGACAAGCAGGAAATCTTGTTAAGACTATCTACCAATGATATTGAGAGGGGAGCAAAGGAGCCAAGGATGATGATAATCCCTATTCAATAAAGAGGTAAAGAGTCAAGGAGCCCCCAAAACCATTGGTTAGACTTTGTAAGAGGAGTTTTGGAGTCTCAGAGGGCACCGCACCCTGTGGAGGCTCGTGGTTCGCGGTCAGGACCAACCTCTTCCTATGTCTCGGGACAGGAAGCTCTGCGACGTCACAGGTGGATATATTCAGCTAAAGAATTACCAATACTAGTTACTATTTTAGGGGTTCCTTATTATAAGTATGGTATAATGGGCCCCAAAACCCTGTTCTAATTACTAAGGCCCCTATATTAGGGCGTGGGGTTTTCTCCTCCTCCTCCTCCTCCTCCTCTTCCTGCTGTCACCGCCACGCCACTACTACTGCTGCTGCTACTAGTACTGCTACTGCTGCTACTACCACTACTACTACCACTACTACTACTACTACGACGACGACTACAACTACGACTACGACTACTGCCACTACTCGTACTTGTACTTGTCGTTTTGCACTGTTGTCGGAGACGCACCAAGGAAGCGTACCTTTCGGACCTATAGCCACCATAGCTCCGAAGCTTCACAACCCCAAAGCGGTGGGTTTCCGAAAATAGTGGTACCCCCAATTTTCGGAAACTCCCAAATGCATCGCACGGTAGCAGGCGGTGAAACAGATCTCTTGGGTGTGCCTCCAGGCTGCATACAGCAACCGTTGGCAGGGCTTCCTGCATTCTGTTGTGGGCGCCGACAGATCACTCACCCTGTCTTTGCATGGCCCCCTCGCAGATCCCCAACCCCTCACTTCGACCCCACCAGTGCTGTGCAGACGGATGAGGCGTCTTGACTTCCCTTCCTTGCGTAGATGTGTGATTCGGATCATTGCCAGGCCAGCGAACCAGTGTTCGAACATGACACTTCTGTCAGAGTTCGCATGGAAGCTGCTTGTAAGGGACCTGCATCAGAGCTCACCTGCCCGAAACCTCAAAAAAGAAAGCTGAACCCTACAACCCTAAAACCCTACAGAACCCTAAAACCCCACCAGCCAGACTCCGAGGGTAAAAGAGTATATACCCTTAACATAGCTACTATATACCCATTATATAGCCCATGACCTTCCTTTTCCCCTTTGACAGACAGCTCACCAGATTTCCCCTGCTCCGAGGATCTCAAGAGCCTACCTCCTGGGACCGGGGACTGGGAATCTGGAGTCCCATTGCGCAGCTGGGCCTAAACCATAATTATAGGGCATCCTACCCTGAAACCATATTCCAACTTTCTGGGGTTCCCTGTAGTCTCCTTAGGAGTTATTCTTATAATAGTATTTGTATTATGGTTCTAAGGGGGGTATAGAATTATCCAGGTAGGGCTTTGCGACAGTTGATATTTTCCCCTGTGGGGCTTAAGAGGATCTTACTTACTAATGTTTTTTCGAAGGCTTTAAAAGCCCCGCCTAGGGGCCAGAAGGATCGGTTCTTGTTTTGATGCACGCACGTAACTACAACTTAGGGCTGCAATAGGTTATATGGGGTTCCGTAAGCGTTGTGCAGGGTTCCACAACTAGAACGCTCAGCGGCATGCCGTCTTGCTTTTTTCAAGTCTCAGATCACCGACCCCGAAACGTCGCCTAAGGAGAGCACCCAGTTCGAGCACTATCCACTCTCGGCCTATGCGTCTGAGTCTGTGGAACCACCCATCGAGATGGAGCTCTGCGACGGCCAACGCGTCAAAGGTTCATCAGGGAGACTGGGCCCTTGTCAGGGAACTGAACGTAAGTTACCAATATTTGGGATCTACAGTCCACAAACCCTAGGGGTACTTAGAAATATTTTTTAATTTTTGGTTTTTATAATCCCTAAGAAACAGCAAAAATAATATTTGTTGCTAGGGTTCTAAGTTCAGTATAGAATCTGGTGCCCCCCGGTTATGATAACTTCTAGGCTCTTGACAAGGAACTTTATTTAACAAGTAGTTAAGTTACCATCATGATGTATTGGGGACCTGTAGTCAACAAGATGGTACCTTGTTATGGTACAATATGATTATAATACTGTTACTCATACACTTATGCTAAATACTATTGTGTTCACATTTCTATAAGTTAAACCTCCCGAAGAAGAGCCCAGGAGCAGACCTTCAGGCGTGCTCTTCGGCGGACTTGGTTATCCAAGCCTTGACAGTGGCCGACTTCTCATGCGGGTTCTCATTCACAACACCAGGTGGGAGTTTCCGAAAATTAGGAGTCCTTTATCTTGGGGTCCAATAAGTATATTAGGGTCCCCTATTTTCGGAAACTCCAAGGTATGCTTTCGGAATAGGAATTGGCTCCGCGGACGCCATTGTCACGAAAGATCCAGAGCATGATCGACACTTCCTGGGTCTCTACCACGGTGGTCACAGCACAAACGTCTGCGCCTATGCAAAAAGAACTTACTCATCGGGTAGTACCGGTGATTGGCGCTCCTCTACCAAGTTGGCTATACTTTTCGACTTTGACCGTAGCACCATGCAGTGCTACGAAGGTTTGGAGCCCTTTGGCCAAGTGGTTACGATCACCTTTGACAAGTACTGGCCTATGGTGGTCTTGTGGAATGAAGTCGATGATGTGAGCATTGCTGTAGATTACTTGTAACGGACTCCAAAGAAGTTGCGCCTGAGCCGTTAATGTCAAAAGATACAAAGGGAATGCAGCTTCGCATCATAACATCCCCATATAGTCCCTTTACAATGACGATAGAATGTACCCACACCCATGTTCAAGAATAATACGTAATATTTAATGTACAATACAAAATATAAAAATGTAACATATAACATGCCTGTTCAGCCAGCTTGCTGCAGACATCGTCGTCCTTGGGAGCGAACCTTCGAAAAGTGAGGGATCATGGGAGTTAGTAGAGAAGCAGCTACATATATATGCATAACTAAACTCAACTAAGGTACTTAAATCCTCACTTACCCAGTCCCCGCAAGCGTATAGAACCCAGAGAGAACCCTCATAAAAACCCTAAAACCTTTTAGAGACCTCACTTGCCAAGCCCCCTTCGCCCCTCAAATACAAATCTAGTACAACATACCAAGCAACTCTTTACTAGTTGTTCACGCCCCGGGAATATATCGAAACCGATACGCACAGGTGTCAAGAAGTGGCTTCTGCGAATGGGAGAGGAAGGCACCACTTTACTATACAGCTTTAGGATTCAGGGTTTACTGTAACCCCAAATGACTCGCTTGTTTAAAGACTCGTATAAGGAAATCATATTAAGGAGCCCTAAACAGGTAGGTTATGGAACGTTGGGGCCTTAATAGTTAGAATTGGGCTCGGGGGTTGTAATACGGAACCCCCAAAGCCCTATTCTAATTTTTCAAGGCCCCTACATTATAGTGCCCTTATAACCCTTACAGACACCTTTCAAAGGAAGCCTAGTCCAATTATGAAGGCTTTTGCATTGGGGTCCCAGGTCGGCCTGAGCCCGAAATCCTAGGTCTCCCACGAGTACCCTTTTCTTGGTTCTTGTTGGTAGTACAGTTAGTCCCCATATAACCCCTATGGATCATGCCTTTAAGGAGTCCCTTCAGCATCTCCCCATAGGTCAAGGCATATTCCTTCTCAAGGGCCTAGTAGTAGAGCAGGCAACCTTTAACATTCTTGGGTAGTATAGTCCGCATAAAACCCTATAATATAACCAAAAAGGTCAACCTTTAGTTCCCCATGATACCCGACAAGTAGGTAATCTTGTAAGACTTCTAACCATTGCTATTGGGGGAGCTTAGCATGGTGATAATCCCTATTAAACACGGAGATAAAGAGCCGAGGGAGCCCCCCAAAACACTGGTTAGACTTTGTTTTAAGTTACCGACAGGGATCTATAGTAAATGATATGGGTCCTTATTATGGTAACTTAGATTGAGGTCTTTGGAAAAGACCCCAGTTGTGCCCACTCGTTCTGCGCCCCCCTTATTCAAAAGCGACTAGTCGGGAAACAGGGTACCCCTTACCACTGGGGAACCCGTGGACTATAGAAGCTGGAAAAATCATTAGCTCTACTCCTCCGGGTTCCTGCTGCAATATACCCCCTACTGGGAGGGTCGGGAGACTTAGTAAGTAGGTAGTAAGTAGACTTATAAGTACCCCAAAAGGGACCCTAATTGGGGTTATGGTACTTATAAGTCCCTAAAATAACCAGTTACTAAGTCCCCCGACCCTCCAAGTAGACCCTACTCCAATCCTTCAGGCTCCTGTAGGGTCTTCCCAAAATCTTAAGACGGGACTAGGGTTTTTCTGTAAAAGGGCTCCTTTAAAGGGCTACTCTAAGGGATACTATGAGGGCTACTATAGGGGGTACTATGAGGGTACCAGGGGTCCTTTAAAGGGCTACCTTAAGGAACCTGTGAGGGTACCATAATATAGGGACCTTAATCATGCGTTTTCGGTTTAGGCTCGGAAGGGCCGAAGAAGGCTAGCCTCGAGCTAGACACCTCATGTCAAGTATTACAGGGGCCTAAATTATTGCAAATACTATTTTGGAGGGGGTTCCTTGTTGCAATTTTAATATAATGGGCCCCAAAACCCTATTCTAATAATTCAGGCCCGTATATTACACTATAATCATACCCAAGCACCCTAGGGGAGTTCTTCAGGAGATGTTCTGAAGCCCCTTCCGAACGCTTTCTGCAATATAGTGGTATTTTCTAAGGGTTCTATGCTAGACAGGAAGAGCTGTATAATGTCATGAAGGAGGTTGGGAGCCTTGCTGTGGGGCCATGCTATACAGGAAGAGCTCTATAATGTCATGATCATGAAGAGGGTTGGCAACCTTGCTGTGGGGTTTTGTTCTGAGCTAGTGCTGTCGGTGCTCCTTGGAAGAGGCAACATGTGCTCTCGGGGCAATGGAATCCTAAACCCTGCAGCCCATGCCCCTAAAAGCCAAACCAACCAAAACGATCTGAGTGGTTGTCAAGTTGTGGTCCTTATTGCAGCACCTACTATTTAGGATACCCAAAAAGGGACCCTAGTTTTGACAGCTACCTATCTGGCAGGCATCTCTCCTAATCTCGTTGCTTTCAACGCTATCATCGACAGCTTTGCTCGGCGCGGTCTCGCAGTTGCCTCGGGTATGCGGTGGAGCTTTGTGGGTGCAACTAAACATCCGAACATATGTAGAGAGAGTGAGGGAGAGCCAAGAAGAAAGACATGCTTAGTTATTAATATGTGTGTCCTGGTTCGGTTAGTTCTTTAGTTAGTTTAGTCAGTTTAGTTGGCCAGTTGGTTGGTTAGTTAGTTAGTTAGTTAGTTGTCTTTCTTTGCCTTAGTTTGAACAACCTTTGATGTTTGCAAACCTTTTGATGCCTCAGTGGGTAAGCGCACGGTCAGTTGGCAAAGGCTGTGGGCTCGATTTCCCTAAGTGTCTTTCCATGCATCGCCCCGGACATACCAAGTTCAGTCACTGGGTCCTCGGTTTCTTCATTCGTTTTTTTGGAACGCAGCAGAAAACAAGCGAATAACAATCGACGAGAGCAGAATAAGAAATTGGCCGGCCGAGGTCGCCCTGATTTCTTCTTAAGGAGTTGATATGGGGGTTTCCGAAAATAGAGGACCCTTTAAGGGCTCCTTTAAGGGATCTATAAGGGCTTTATTGAGGGTTTAGGGATTAGAGAGTTTCCGAAAATAGGGGACCCTAATATAGTACCTTCAATAGTAGGATCCTTATTATAAGGACGCCCAAATACGGTACCCCTAATTTTCGGAGACTCCCATATGCGCATTGTTCTGTATTGTTATTCGCACGTCGGTCCGGCAAGGCTCAATCTCTTAAGCTGCACCACGGAAAGGTAATGCCGGTCCGATATTGGCCTGCTGCCACAGCCACAAACGAATTGAGCCGATTAGGCATCTGCAGAACCTTCCTTAGACACGATTCATCCATGTCGCAAACAAGAACTCATTCAAAAACCGAAAAGCTCCAAACCTGTTCGAAACCCTTGCCTGTGACTAAACCAACCCATGTTCTTGTAAAAAAACCTTACAGAACCGCTGTGCTGGCGAGCGCAGCCCTGATAATAGAATCCTGATATAGCTCTTGTCGTGACTGTGATAGAACCGTATAGTAATCTGATAGAACCGTAGAACCCATATGGGTGGTTGTCAAAATGATGGTCCCTTTTTGGGCACCCAAAAAGGGATCCTAATTTTTGACAACCACCCATACAGTACACTAATACTATACCATACTATAGTACTATACTATACTATAATACTATGTACTATACTATACTATAATACTATGTACTATACTATGTCTAGTGAAATACCTTTTTGTAACCCTTGTAGGTAATCCCAAAGTATGAGTCCTTATATAAGAGATCCTTAATCCTACCTACTTTTCATCCCACCTTTTGCGGCCTCCAAAGCCTCTGGCAGACCTCCTTTTTCCGCCCAGATGTCCGACGCGGAGAGGTGGCTCAAAGAGCTGAAAGATGCTGGTGCACGCCTCGAAGTTTTCTTAGGGGTACTTAGACATAATGGTTAGTTTTTGGTTATTATAATCCCTAAGAAACAGCACGCCTCGAAGTTTCCCAGAGAGCCCAATACCCCTTACTTAAGCAATATACCTTAAATTATAAGGGGCTTCATGTTATGATTTAAGCTATATTCCTTAATTAAGGGGTATTGGGCACTCTGGGTTGGATTGCGTAGGTTTTGAAAGGGTCCTCGTTATATCAGGGCCTTGTACGACTTCATAAACTTTACAAGGTCTGACAGGATTCTGAGGAGTTGCGTAAGAGTGTTGTGGGGTTTCCTGGAATTTTGCAAGGTTTGACCTGGTTCCAGAAGGTGCGCAGTCGTTGCATCTTGGTTCTGAAAAATTCTACTGCCGCTACCTGACGGTATCTGTCCTTGCTACTAAATATTGGTGAGTGTATGTTTGGGGTTTGTTATGGGGAGACCAGTGACATACAAAAGGCTCATATTTGTCAGGGTATCAGACTTAAGGGTCTAGAGGGTTCGGGATTTATCAAAAATCGCTCTAAATTTGGGAGTTTCCGAGACTACTGGACCCGATTATAGCACCCTAACCAGTAGGATCCTTATTATAAGAACCCCCAAATCAGGTGCCCCTACTTTTTCGGAAACTGCCATATTGGGGAAACCCAGGCAGCTGGAACGTGGGTTAAAGGCGATGTCGGTTGAGGTTCTCTTGCGTTTGGTTAGTAGAGAATGGAAGAATGGTAGTAACAGTACTTATAATTGTACCCCATTCCTCCATTCCCTACTAACCAAAGGTAAGTTCTTTACACTACGGTTTGGTTTTAGGGCTTACGGTAAGAGCATCAATATAATCAAGTTTGAGCTTTCGAGCGTCTGCTGTAAGAGTTCTGCAGCAATGCTCTGTCGGTAGCACGTCATAGGAGCTCGCCAATCCATCTGTATTTACAACCGTATTTTGTTTATCTTTATGTGTATTCAGTTGGGTGCATACATGTCTATGCATATGTAGCAGGTAAGTACGTTTGCGTTTTCTGATCTACTGATTCCGAGTGTTGGATATGCTGCCACTCGAATTTGCTTGCTCTATTACTCTGTGCGCTGAGCTAGTCTATTGAGTAGTCCGTTCGTTCTTGTCCTGCCCCTTTTGGATTCTATCACTCGGCCAGCTGCTTCGTCATTCGATCCCTAAAACCTGAAACCCCACACAACAACCCGCCAGTCGCAACTGCATCTGCGGCCAATTCAGAGCTTCATAGGTTTGCAGCCCAACGTTCGCTCGTACACGCCGTTCGCCGGCCACCAAGGTTATAAATTAAGTTCCAGGATTTCGGATATCTGGCAACATGATCTTTCATGCAACCTTGCTTGCAACAAATAGCCTCGACACGCATGGTTTATTTTGCAGATGGGAAGGCGTCCACAAGTCATGCTGAAGACGAAAAATCCTGAAGTTCTATACCCTGAAACACCCGAAACCCCGGTACACTTCGTGCGGACCCCAAAAGGAGCCCTGAAAACAAAGAAGAAAAACAGACGAAACCCCAAAAGGATTGGAAGAAGTATCTGGACAAAACTTTCTGTGGAGTCCCAGGGATTGTCGTTTTGGAAGCTTCTTGGCATGAGAGGGGCGGATCCGCCGAGAAGGGTCCTAGTGTGGGGAGTCTTTTTACTTTCGAGGTGAGCGCTTTGAGGATTGCAGATCTTCACCTCAAGGGCCCTTGCTACGGTTGATGGAATAAATCCTGCATGACCCATAATAAGGAATATACCATAATTCCCATAGTTTAGAGTCCTTAGGGTCATGCAGGATTTTGTCCATCAACAGTATCACCAGTTTGCCAGACTGTATTATATGCCTTCGCCTGCTTCTCCAGACTGCTAGAGGGGAGTTGCCAGGGTTCGACATGATACGGGTATTTACGCAGTCGTTCATATCCATATACATGTGTGTATATATATACACACACATCATACGTAGCAGAACAGACCATAACATGGTTTACTCGTACACTATGTCTGCATATCCAGGTGAGCATTAGTGACGGCAAATTGGGCTGAGACCCCTTTTGGGTGGTTCTTTATTGTATCCTGAACTCTAGTACTGCCCGTTCCCCGGCACCCACGAAACTAGATGTTTCTAAGTCTGCGGCCCTTGCCCAACGCGGGGACGTGGTGGCTACTGCACGGTGGTTGAGGCAGGGAACCTTGGAATGGCACTAGTTTGTTTATACACGTAAGATAGGTCTGCATAGACATGTATGTGTGTGTGTGTGTGTACCGTGTGTGCCTTGGTATATAGAGTGGGTCTCGCTGTGTGATATAGTAGATGTAGACCCACGACCCCGGCTTGTGCAGGTTGCTAGGACCTGCAGTTTCCGATTGACCCGCGAAGACCTCACGACTTCTGCGCTCATGAGCTTTCAGAGTTGGTTTTGTTCAGGCTAGGCAATGTCAGGCTTGCGGCGCCGGACCACGACACTGCATGTTCAGGCTCTCAACCTGTAGTAGAGTAGGTCAACTTAGCATCTAAGAAGTCCGCTGGGCGTGGCAAACGGTCGTCAAGGCCATGGCCAGGTCCTGCCGCAGTGACGTCGACACCTCTCAATATCATAAGGTCTTGAAGGTTTAGGATTAAGGCTATGCCAACGACAGCGAACGTCACCAAGCCGCGAACACACTCCCGAAGTTCGCAGCAGTGCTCACGTGAGTTGGGCCTTAATCCAGAGAAGCTTTGCAACTTCGGAGGTGCCCTTATTCATGTGCCGAGTCCGAAACCGCAGGAAATAGAAGCTCCCCCAGAAAAAACTGTGCAGGACCATGACTCCGTGGTGCTCAGTAGGGAATAGGGGAATGGATCCCTGTAGTAGCCCCTATATAACCCCCAAATTAGGGTATAGGGTTATAGTAGTCCCTAAATAATCCCCAATAACTTTGTCATAGTTGGGTAACATTTAGATTTTTATGGGTACTTAAACCCTATAAGGAAGAAAAATGTATTTTTTTCATCCTATCTCAACCATGAACTAGATAATAGTCCCCATAATCCATTCCCCCATTCCCTACTAAGCACCAGGACCATGATCGAAGACTCGGCGGCGACCCCGGTGGGTTTGGGTTTCCACTAAAGACCCCTTTTTTCGCGCAGTTGACAGGTTGTCCAACCACCTTCCTAGAACCCTGAATACTAGCAGGCTGATATGCAGGGAAATATGGGGGGTCGGAAGAATTGCAACATTATTCCCGTATAGTCCCTCTGTCGCTATGCTTTAGTATCGCCCTCAAAACCCTGCTCCAATACTGTTGATGGACAAAATCCTGCATTACCCATAACAAGGAAGATGCCATAATTCCCATAGTTTAGAGTCCTAAGGGTCATGCAGGATTTTGTCCATCAACAGTATTGGTGCCACTATGTTCAGGGTCAGGGCTGGGCGTTTGCCCGCACTTACTCCGGTGCATGCTGGCAGTTTTGGGGATCGAATCCTGAAAGAAGCAATCGCATGTTGTTTGGGTCTGTGGTTTTGCACGCGCAGTGTTGCTGATATCATCGGTATTTACTGTGTTGTGCGTATTTAGAATGTTGAAAAGATAAGTACCGCCTTGCCCGTGCGTGCATTGGCCACAGCATCCATGGCCGAACGATGATTACGTCCGTGTTACCAGTGCGTGCGATTGGCCACAGCATCCATGGCCGAACGATGATTACGTCCGTGTTACCAGCGCGTGCGATTGGCCAGAGCATCCATGGCCGAACGATGATTACGTCCGTGTTAGCAGTGCGTGCGATTGGACAGAGCATCCATGGCCGAACGATGATTACTACGTCCGTGTTACTCAGTGCGTGCGATTGGCCAGAGCATCCATGGCCGATCGATGATTACGTCCGTGTTGCCAGTGCGTGCCATTGGCCAGAGCATCCATGGCCGAACGATGATTACGTCCGTGTTAGCAGTGCGTGCGATTGGCCAGAGCATCCATGGCCGAACGATGATTACTACGTCCGTGTTACTCAGTGCGTGCGATTGGCCAGAGCATCCATGGCCGAACGATGATTACGTCCGTGTTGCCAGTGCGTGCCATTGGCCAGAGCATCCATGGCCGAACGATGATTGCGTCCGTGTTTCCAGTGCGTGCGATTGGCCAGAGCATCCATGGCCGAACGATAATTACGTCCGTGTTGCCAGTGCATGCGAGCAGTGTTGCTGAAAACATCGGTATTTACTGTGTTTTGCGTGTTTAGAATGTTGAAAAGATAAGTACCGCCTTGCCCGTGCGTGCATTGGCCACAGCATCCATGGCCGAACGATGATTGCGTCCGTGTTTCCAGTGCGTGCGATTGGCCAGAGCATCCATGGCCGAAAGATGATTACGTCCGCGTTAAAAAAATCTCCCTGCCAACCCCGTAAAAATGAGATTTGGGCCGCGCTTTTCAGCATCTCCGAATACAGACATCTTCCTGCAAAAGAACAACCACTCCTCAAGTCCAAACCTACAAAAACCTCGGTTTTTCTCGAGTAAGCTGGGCCTTCCTCTCCTGTGGTATGCTTGCTCCATGCTCCCCAACCTGGCGTGTACTCCCCAAACCTTCTACACGGAACTTCCAAGTTTCATATCCAACAAAACCCTAGTCCAAACCTCGGAAAACCTGTGTTTTTTCGAGCAAAACACACATTTCCCCAAATACACGCGGGCAAACGCCCGTCCCTTAGCCTATGTTCAGCATTAGAACCTTCTGCAACCAGGAGGAAGCCCCCTCTTTTCAAGCCTGGTGCAGAGCAGCCACTGAACTTCTAATACCTACTTGGAGGATCATGGGACTTAGTAAGTAGGGTTATAAGTACATTAATTGGGGTTATAAGCAATTATAACTGTAGTTACTGTACTTATAACCCTACTTACTAAGTCCCATGATCCTCTAAAGTAGTAGTAGTCCTTCTTTTCCTAGGATACTGAGTAGTACCCTTATTCCCTTTTTGTAGTCCTAGGTTCCCAATAAAGTGACCCAATACCGAAAAGGGAGCCCTTTTTTAATCCTAGGATACTGGGCATCCTAGTAAGGGGTTTAGGATTCGATAAGGAGTTTAGGGTGTACGCTGAAGCGGCTTAGGGTTCCTGTTCTCCTAGTTGTCGAGTAGGTAACCTTTAACCTTCTTTGGGTAGTATAGTCCCTATAAAACCCCTATATAACCAAAAAGCTTAACCTCTAGTTCCCCATGATACCTGACAAGTAGGAATATAGGGCTTTTGTAGTTACCTAATACTATTTTGGGTATTCCTTATTATAAGTATAGCATAATATCCCCCCAAAACCCTATTCTATTTATTAAGGCCCCTATAGTAGGAGCACAAGCTGTCGCCAAAGTCTTCCTCTTAGAACTGATAGTACAACCAGCTCCGCTTCCCGATCTTCCATGAAACAGCCTGCAAAAAGCGTGAGGTACATCCTAAACCCCAAAGATCCACAAGTTTGCTTGAGGTGAGTCCGAATGCCGTGTCCCACGCGACTTTGGTGGATGCTCACGCACGGGCCCGAGCAACTGCTTGCAGACCCTGGAAATGTTGCTCGAACCGCTGGAAACCCCAACAGTCACCGAGTGACCGAAACAAGGTTCGGGACATGTTGAGACATATGTTTGCCCCGCCGGGCTGGCTCCAATGTCTGGACCCAGTAAGCATTCCGTGTCATTGAAGGTGTCGCAGGGCAACGCGACAGAAGCCAGCGCCACTCTGGACAGGTGGGTGTAGGCCTTTCTAAGCAGCAGACGAGATTACAATCATGGGGCAACAAGCTGCATCGGGTTTAGAGTAAACGCTTTCGGGTATAAGATTTAAGTCTTAACAACCTTGAGGAGGTGTCTGGCTCTGCAAAACTCTGCCCTCAGACTGCTGGAAGCGGGCGCTGATGCAGATGCGCGCACCATCAGCGCCGTGCTGCGCTGCTGTACCCGCGCGGGTCCGGCTTCTCGATTTGTGCGTTGGGGATTGGGGGGTTTTGGGATTTAAGAAAGTAGTTGGTTTAGGGTTTAAGATTTGTCGGTTTCGGTTGGAGGCTCTTGCCGTGGGGAGAGCAGCTAGAACAATGAAGGAACCTTGGATGTCTGGCGCCCAACAGCTACATAAGTCTTATGGATAGAAATTCACATAGTCAAAAAGCATTGACACCTATCCCTTTTCAGCCATATCAGCTTCAAAGGTTTAGTTTTGGGCTCGTGGAATCAAGTTTGTGAGAATAGAAATCCAAGTTTTGTGAATGTGGTCCAATGCACAGCGCTGTCTGAGATTACAGGCAGTAAAGCATCGTAGCTGTTGATTATCTTATGGCACTTCAAGGTTTGTTGTACAAGAGTTACTGAAGTGTAGTTGTAGTGTCTTCACCCGCAGCGCCCCCTTTCTTCAAACCTTCCCATTTGAGCAGCAATGCAAGCTGAACGGTGTTGTACCCTAAACCCCTAAACCTGTAGGGTTCAGAAAGGTTTAGGGTTTATCGTGGTTTATGGTCTGGGGCTTTGGGGTTTTAAGGTGTTGGGCTTTGGGGTCTGCTCTGTGTCCGGGGTTCGGCAGGTCTTCCTTGGGTACTGCCCCCATACAGTAGCAGTCTATAATTGGGCTACTATCAAGGTCCTAGTATATTTAACTTATGACTACTATCCAACTCTCACTGAGTGGGGGCAGCACCCAATACCCTAAACCCTACTGATAGGTTCATGGGACTTAGTGACTATGGTTATAAATAAGGTAACTATACTTGTAATTGGATATATTCCCAGTTAAGGTACCTATAACTGTACCCCCCCAGACCCTGAGTCCCGACTGCAGCTTATCCATCTCAAAGAGTGCTCCTCACCAACGTCGGCATCAGCCGGGGAGGCGTGGACTTGCGGTGCGATCATAGGATCATAGGACTTAACAGTTAGGGTTATGAGCAAGGCAACTATCGTACTAATGACTTATAATCGTAAGCCCATGACTTCTAGCACTGGAAGTCCTCTCAAAAATGTCGGGTACTGTCCACCTCCGGAGCAAGAACCGAGGCCCACCCTTAACTTATCAATGGTCTAACTCAAGTTTAGAGACCGTGCTTTTACAATACCCACTACCATACATCTGCGGCATCCTAGCAACTAAGGCCCTCCTTTCAAGAGGTTTACCGTAGGTTTCAGGCTTTCGCATAGGCCACTCCGTGGCAACATAGGGGCCTGCAGAATATCGGGGCCTAAATAGTTAGTATAGGGGTTCCGGGCTCATGAGGAACTCCCAAGATAGTATAGGTAATTATTTAGGCCCTATAGTAATTTCAAGAGGGTGCTGGACTACATTTTCGTATTGTGAGTATGTAGGGGCTGCAAGAGAACAATGGTTGCTCAGGCTTGTTTATCACAGGGGTAAGCCTTAAGCCTAGGGTTTAGGGTCTAGTGGTGTTTTTGCGTTCAGGGTAAGTATAGGCGATAACGGTATGGCTTAATCCCTACACACATAGAAAGCTGGATTTCATTGTGTGCTTGGTGGTTAATGCCTATCGGAACAATTAGTGGAAACTTCCCCGTATAATGTCCTTCTACAGCCAATTATAGTTTTATATAGTTTGAAAACCAAGGCCTCACTAATGCTTCCCTAAAGCTCCTGCACGTCCTTTGTTCGAGAACGCTTCAAGGAACCCTTGGAGGAACTCTCTTCTTACTCTTCAGGCCTCGATATTAGGAGTAAAATTAGGGTTCCTTGAGGGTTCAATACGGGTTCTATACTTTAGGGACCTTAATGAATAGAGCCGAGCTGTGGTGTGTATTCTGCTACAATTCTAGAGGGACTACAATGGGAGTAGGATGGCCAGTTATTCCGGCCGGTACAGCTCAGATGTGGGAGTTGGGGTTTACGGCTTAAAGGTTCTACGGCATCAGAATTGAGGGGTCGGCGCGAGATCCAAACCCTAAACCCCCAAAAAACCTAAGCAAAGAACCGTAAACCCTCAACCCCGAACCCTGGAAACCCTGAACCTTCAAGTCCCCTCGGGTTCTCAAGTCTTCTGTTCTTCAGAGTACGGAAACCCCATTCTCAACGCGTCTTGTCTGCAAACAACCATAAAGTATAGGAGACGACAGCATCTGTTCATCGCTATAGATGACAACCCTATGTTATGTATGTGTGGCTACGGAATATATACTCGTATATAGAATATAGACACGTATACTAATGTGCGTGTGTTTATGACTACATGTATACATATACATACATACATACATACATACATACATATACATACATATATACATATACATATATATATATATATATATATACGTGGCTTCATAGACACACATGAGCCCGAGATCCTAAATTCGACAGGAGCCGACAAGATGCCAGCAAAGCTGGACTGCTTCGGCACATGCGGCTGCAGAATTGTTGTCGAGAGGGGACGTCAGGGTTCGTTGGCATAAAAAGGTGAAAGCATTTTGAAAGGTAACGTAGGGTTTAGGATTTAGGGGGTTAGGCCTGTTTTCGGGCCAGTGCCGCTAAGTTCCTAGCTTATCTTGTAGCTTCCTTATCTCAAGTAAATCGCCAAGCGAAAACGGCGATCTAAGCCCGTCAACCCAGAATCTTGTATGATCTTTCAGTCGATTCAGCAAAAGGCTCGGGTGCCCGGGCTTCTGAATCCCTGGGATCGCCACAACCCCAAAACCCTAACCAACGCAACTAAAACAGTAGCAATGGGATCCTTACGCCGCGATATGGGAGTTTCCGAAAATTGGGGGTTACCTTATTTTGGGGTCCCTATAATAAGGATCCTATTATTAAGGGTACTATATTACGGTCCCCGATTTTCGGAAACTCCCATATATCCGAGATCCTTATTCTCATTGCAAACTGCACTCCTTCTACACCCCAAACCCAACCCGCGCCCCTTCAACTCCAAACCCTAAATGCCCCAATAGAACCCACAAAATGATATCAAAGAACAACCACCGACGTTGAAAACACCTCGAAGAAAGCAAGAAACACGCTGGCTTTTGGGATCTTTGTCAGGGAGCGTGTCAGTCGTTTATCTGCTCTAGGCCAAAACTCCCTCGACTCCTAAACCTTAGGGGTACTTAGAAATAATTTTTAAATTTTTTGTTATCATAATCCCTAAGAAACAGCTAAAAGTATAATTTTTGCTAGGGTTCTAAGTTCAGTATAGAAACCCCGAAGCCCAAAACTCTCATACTTAAAGGTTCATGGGACTTAGTAAGTACAGTTACAAGTACCCTAACTGGGGTTATACCCAATTATAAGTACAGCTACCTTATTGACAACCATAGTTACTAAATCCCATGAACCTTTAAGTAGAATCTGAGCCAAGACTCTTTCGGTGCGCCTTTGAGTCGCCCGTATCGCAAGCACAACAGTTATGGTAGCATGGAGGCCTGAATGGCTAATACTAGCATCCCTAGAGTCCTTATGGATGTACCCAATGTCTATCTAACTCTATCTAACTACTCTCTTATTCCATGTACTCAAAGCCCGATTCTAGTTAAGGACTCCTGCGATAGCCAAGGCCGACAACATCAGCAGCTCATGGGTGATCTTAGCCGAAGAGATCAGATTCGTGACTTTGCCACGCAGCTGCATTGAGCCAGGACCGGTAGGGGTGGAGGGGGTTTAGGGTTGGCAGGGTTGAGGGGTTAGAGGTTGAGGCGTTTAGGATATAGTAAAGGGCTTAGGATAATCATATTCCAACTTTCTGGCTTTTACTTTAGGTGGTTACGAGTTTAGAATTTAAGGCTTTAAGGTTCCAATCGTCTTCTCAAGTTTGCCACAGACCCACTGCTTTGCTTGTCCGAGGCGAAAGATATGAAAGAACCGCTGCTTCGCTGAAATTAGCTTCCCAGCTTTTGCATGGTGTCCCTGTGTTGCACCTGGTTGAATCGTCACAGTGCGTTTAGAAGTCAAAACGCATCTTTGACCAGGTATGAGAGGACCGGGCATGGGTTTGAATATAGGGGCCTTAATAGTTACCTCTACTATTTTGGGGGTTCCTTACTATAACTATAGTATGATACAACTCAAAGCCCTATTCTAATTACTATATTTACAACGCTGCAGCATTGCTTGGTCTCGGGCGTCCCAGACACCGCTGACTTAGTGCAAACATGCCAGATCAATTGCAGATCTTGCACTTCGCAGATCTCAAATCCAAACGCTAAGCATCCGTTTGTGCACAGGCACACTAACAAATGCACGTCGTTTGGTTCTGTGTTTGAGCATTCTTGTTTATGTGCATATATATATATACATATATACATATATACATGCATACATACATACATATACATATACCTTTGTATATATATATATAGAGAGAGAGAGAGAGGAAGGGTTCTGGCCAGCCCTTGTTTGGGATGCAGGTTCTCCTAAACCACAGCTGCAGTGCCTGGGACCCAAAACTTCGGTCAATCACATGGCCTTTTCTGAGCAATACTGGGACCCGAGTTTGGCTACACCAGCCCGTTGGCACCCGGTTTAGGGTTTAGGGCCCAACACAGCTTAAGCTCACCCCGAACCTCAGCACAGCTTGAACTTAATCCCGACCCTCAACGACCCGAACCCTCCAAAAAAAAGCGCTGCAACCAACCCCCAAACTCCCCCAGGCCCCCCCAAACTCCCCCAGGCCCCTGCAGCCTTCCCAAGAACATCTCTAGGACTCCAAAATGATCTTTACAGAAGGAACCTTATTGAAAAAGTGCAAAAAGGTACCGCCGTGGTGGGACCTCGGCCCCCAAAGCCCTCAAGAAAGCTAGAACCCGGGAGCCCAAAAACCTTGAAAAACGAAAGCACGAAAAGCTCCAAAGCCCCTAAACCCAAAAACCCAAGAACCCAAGAAAAACGCGCAAAATCCCAAACACCCGAGAGCAAAAGCCCTAGAATCCCAAAAAGGCCCCAAGTCTCGGCAGGAGGGCCGTCTCACGCCAGGGCACCCGG